CGCGCCAAGGCGCCCCCAGCCGGTGCACCCGAAGCGGCGCTCCCAGCGGTCGTAGTCCTCCGCGGCGCCGCGGACCCAGAGGTTGTAGTTGATGGCGCCTAACTCGATGGGTCGATCCCCTCTTGGGGATGTCTTTGAGTCACCCAAGTAAAGGGAAACCTTTGCTGGGATGATGTTTCTAGGTTGGACAAAAAGGGGCCTCACTCGTGGGTCGACTCGACCTGGGGTCGATGCTTGTTTTTGGAGTTGCCCCCTGCTTGGCTGGCTTTCAAGGGAAACCAAAAGAAAACCCACTGTGTTTCCATATGTCCTCTCTTGGCAAAAGGTGAGTTTTTGGTGGGATGATGCTTTTAGAACCTGCGAATTGATCCAGGGGGCGATATTGGAGAAGCCACAAATTGGCTTCCTTGTGGGCACCCTCAAAATTCTGCCTGAAGAGGGAAGCGGGAGTTTTGACCCACTAAGGCACCTCGTGAATCGGCGAATCCTTTGCTCGAAGGGACCCTTCGGACATCATTTACCTTGCTGGCGCTCACGCCGAATCAGCGGCGTTCTGCACCAGGCTCCTACTGCAGCGGGCGCTGAAACGCCTGGTCCTTCACTCAGCTTGCTAGGCGTCCGTACGAGCTCACGAGCTCATGCGCGCATGGTCGTGGATACGTGTAGCTGGGGCCAGCGGTTGTTTGCGGGATAAGGTTCAGGGTACTTCGCTTTGGCTTTATTACGTTTTCTCGGATTTGAGAAGTTCGACGACGTTGGTTGACTTAGGAGTTCCAGCCGAAAACATTTGCTTGCTGAGGTTTGACGCTCACACCAATCCGTTTGTCATGAGCAGAGTATCAGAGTGGTTGCCCAACGAAGCGGCTCTGGTTTGGCTCGGATATTTTTGGGACACGTCCCATTCTCGCGCGGGACGTTGGCGGCTGTTTGAGTTTTGAGCATCGCCTCATGGCAACTGCTCGAACGTTCGCCGACTCAAGAACCATGGTCTCGATTGCTTGACTTGAACTGCTCGACGATGGTGAGTTAGCAGTCTTGTTTGAAACACCGACCTGCTTCCAGGCGCAAACAACGTTGTCGCTCCCTGCCTTGTTCGCTAAGTCGCTTTCCATTCTTCCCCCTCCATCCATTCACCTGTGTGTGTGTGTCATAAAATCAATACATCTCATCCATATCCTCATCATGTTTGTTTGCTTCAGTTCAGAGGATCCCAAAGGGTGCTCAGGTTGGTGCGCGTTGAAAGCCAGGGATGCTTCAAACAAGTTTATTGTTAGAGCAAGTTGTGCTGTGGCACCCCTTGCCCTCATGTCCTCCTTTGATTTGCTCGGAGGCTGCGTCACTGGGAGGGGGACCCACCTCGGACCGAAAGAACATTGAAAGAGAAGTGGGGCTTTTGTGGCCCTACCCAAAGCCTCAACCTGTTCTTTAAGGGACCTTCATCATTCGCACGTTTTACCCCATCGGTGGAATTGCTCGCACGCAGATACATGGAGAGGGGCCCAACGTCTTGGTTGCTGCTGATCCCTCTGCAAAAAGTTGTAAACCTTTTGTGGGTTTAGAGTTGAAATCCGTTTGATTTGCCAAAAGTTAAAGTCTAAAGATCCAACCCAATAGCAGTTTTAACGTGGAGTCGGTCCAGCGCCGGTCCCAACGTTTTTCTTCTGAGCCGAATCGCTGGAGCCCCCGGTGGTCTTGCCCCGCTCGAGGTCGATGACGCGGCCCGGAGGCAGCAGGTGCTTCTGCGGAGTCCTGAGAAGGTGTCCCTGGCAATCTAATCAGCGCAACCCATCGCCAAACTATAAAAGTACTAAAGTTGCTCTAGTATTTGGCTCAGAATCCATGAGCAAGGTTGTGATTTTAATATGGCGTTCCAATGACAACCTAAGACGAAGGGTCCAGGAGTCTCAAGCCTGTGGTTCGGGGGTTCCTTGCGCAGGAGAATTTCGGACTCCCAAGCTGTGGACCAGATCCACCCATAATCCAACCATCCCAACTGGTGCAAAGTGGAGTTGGAAACTCCAGGATGAAGTTATTCCTTTTCCCCAACCTCACATTGATAATCTTCGACCCCTTCAAACCACCCCAGTACCACCCCAGTTGTAAACCACCCAAGACCCCCCCCCCGCCAAAAAGAAAAGCAAAGTGTGTAAAGTGTTTTCCTAATTCAGGATCTCGTGACTGTTTTGGGGTCCTCTATCATGACAAGTGTTTCCCCCCCCAAAAAAAATATGCTGGGAACAATGCGGAGCAACAACAACGCGAGACAAAGAAGTCTGGCAAACAATTCCGGGCAAACATTAGGAATTCCTTTTTTTACTGGTTCCCAAACTATCAGATTTAAGATAACTTCTTTACAAAAAAGTATGGGCAAACAGTCGCACAAAGGGGTTGCCCACAAGAGGCGCTGATCCTCTTTAATGTGACTGTTTTGGGGATCGTCTTTAGTGTCCAACTATTCTTTGGAGGGGTTACTAGAAAAACGGGCCTTGGCAATACTAAAGTAGAATTGGCAATGCTAGAGCAAGTGCTGGGAATCTGAGTCAGCCTTGGCAATACTAAAGTAGAATTGGCAATACTAAAGTAAATACACAGTAGAATTTGCAATACTAAAGTCCAGACCCCCACCAGGATTTTCCCTGAACAGGGTCCAGAAGAAGACTGGTTCCACTGTTCAGGGGGGGTCCAACACTTCAGCCAACATGAGCCAAAGGACACCTTCAATGAAACACCTCGGGGCGAAACGCGACATCCACGCCAAGGGATCCGCAATCCATCCCCGGCGAGCGTCGTGCGGAAGCCCCAGTCGATCTCCGACTGCCAGGCCCCGAAGGCCCGGCGCGGGATCCGCACCAAGGCCGAGCGGTGCGCCTCACCTGGCGGCGCGCTGCTCGGCTTCGCCCGGGGCCGGACCAAAGCCGAAGCGAAGCGCGCGGGGGGCCAGGGTCCCGTTTTTTGCGCTGGTTCTGGGCCTCTAAGCGTTGTTGTTGTTTGCCACCGAGTAGTTTATCGGGTTGGATATATGTTGTGGTAATGGTTCATCAATAGCATATCAAACCGGGCGAAATATGTTGATAGATATTGAACCTGTTGGGTATCCATATTCTTGGACCCCGGTCGCATATGTAACCTGGTTGGGTACGGCATGATATATTAAATCTATTACACCCGGTTGGATATGTGTTTCATCTGGCTCCATATGAGTGTAAGTCAAAAATAAATACCGAACATGGAACCGTGGCAAACAGAAAGGAGTAAAACCTGCATTCCGGTGGTTTAACCATCGCCATCGCCATACTCCACATTAATACCCAGGTTTGACCCATCGCCATCTCGCCATGTCGCCATTTGGCTGTGGGTCAAAACCAATGCGCCACCCATTTTAGTCTATTTTAGTAGGGATTGGGATGTTCACTGCAAATACGGGCTTTTGACCCACAGCCATTTAAATATGGAGTAAACCATCGCCATATTGAACCTGGTTTAGTGGTTCTGGTTGCAATGCCACGAAAGGGACCCTCAAGAGTGACGCAACCCAGAGCGTGCGTGGACGGATACCTAAAATAATGTTGGGCTTCCCTCGGCTTCTCTTCTTTGAACCCACCTGGCTGTGGGTCAAAAATCGGAACCCAAAACGGAACCCTGGAAAGTGGAAACACGGACCAAAACCTGCGGTTTTCCCTCCCGTTTAACTTTGAGCCACACCCATATGTTTTATCTCCCCCCCTTGGTTAAGGGAATCTATCACTACTGGAAATAAATTCCGGGAAATAAATCAATTTTGAAATCCCTTTTAGGCTCCGGGAATCTTATTTCCCCCTTTGGTTCAAACCTGGCTGCCTTTGTCGATCCGAGGCGCCGCCCGCTTCCACCAGCAGCACCGAGGCCTTCGCCTGGCTGCGCGCCAGCCGCGCGGCGCAGGCGCAGCCCGCGCTGCCGGAGCCCAGCACCACGAAGTCGAAGCGACGGCCCTGCAGGCCTAACTACGACCGGAAAATCCGTGGAGTAATTGAAGTGTCAGAAAAAGAAAGAAAGATAAATTCAGAAAATCCAGAAAAAATCCGTGGAGTGATTTTATAAGTGCCAGGGAAAAATCGGGTTTCGAATTTATGACCAACCGGAAAATCCGTGGAGTGACTGAAGTGCCAGAAAGTGGAGTGATTGAAGTCCAGTGGGAAAATCTATGGAAGAATCGGGTCTAGGGTTCGTGACCAAAGCCATGTCCTTGCCCAAACCCATACTTCCAGAAAATAAACCGGACAATCCATGGAGTGATTGCTGTGCCAGAAAAGAAAAACAAAAACGAGAAGGTACCAGGAGGTATCACAAGGACATTGATTTTTTGACAAAGTACCACAAAATACATGAAGGGTTTAGGGTTTATGACCAAAAAACAATGGCCTTGCCCAAACCCACGCTTCCATGATCTGGGTTCTGTGCTTCTATTCCCAGACAAGCAAGGTCAAATTGACCAGAACACCCCATAAACACCATGTCAAGAAACCAGCGAAGGAATTTCAACAGGTGGTCAACTTGCTTGTTTACATATACCAAAAGGAACGGGATTGTCTGGGAATCAGTCGGATAACTGCCCTATATCAAACACATAAATATATAGCCATGGATTGAAGTGCCAGAAACTAGGGTTTAGGGTTTTTCCCAAACCCATACTTCCATGATATGGGTTCAGTGTTTCTATTCCCCAAGAAAAAAAACAAAACAAAAAACAATCAAAGGCAACGTGTATGGAAACTGCGGGGACAAAGGCGCTTGATCTGGATCCAGCAATCACCATGCATCACTTTGACCCACAAACTCCCCAACAAAATCTGCCAAAGCTTGACTCATGAGGGTAAATGCGGGTAAATATTAAGCATCCGGGATTGAAGGGTTCCTGTCCAGGGAACCATGGCTATGGTTCACATAACAAGTTTGGACCCCGAACATGTATCGTCTATTGGTTCATTTGGGAGGGGGCATGGGGGGTACTCGCTAACAGCCAGATTCACTGGTTTTCCCAAGTCCTCTTGGGGGAACAAATGAACCACAGTACTGTTACGAGAAACTGATGTTTCCGCAGCCGAAACTACCCCAAGAAGCAATGTGTTGGCGGCTGTCGAGCTTCATGCAACAAAAACTGCAGGAAAGGATTTCACGCAGCACATCACTCACTTGCCGCGATTGATTCGCGCTTTGCAAGATTCACGAGCAGTGAACCTTCTTGCCCGGTCTTAGAAGCCGCCCAATTTTATTTTAACTGTTCTGAGACCGGCATCTTGATCGGCCAAGAATTTCAGTCAACCGATTTTGATCTGCCTTTTACCCCACATCCACCGGGAGTGCCATTTTTGGGGGGCCCCTATCAGGAGACACAACCCCAGGTCCATCCATAGGCTGCCTTCGGAAGGAAACCGACCAAATGCCAACAGTTGAATCAGCAGCGTTGGATCCAACACCCCACTGACATGGCGAACGCCTTAGACTTGGCCCTTCGACCTGCATTCAAAATCACGCTTGGGTTTTCTGGGGAACCCCCCCTCCCCGCCCCCCCAACGCAAAAAACGAAACAATGGTTCCCTCATAAAAGACACACCCACTTCAATCTTTATCAACTAGCCAGTTGAACCCCAACCGACTAGTGGACTCATAGCCACTGAAAGCCCCTTGGGCCGCGGCGTTCTGCGTCCCCCAGGAATCGCTCCTGAAAAGGGCCAGGAATCGCACCAACACAGCTTTACGGCAGCTCTCCAATAAAACAAATCTGTTGACATGTGGTTCACGCCACTGGTTCCCCGAATTTCCATGGCAGGGTGCCCTCAGGTCCAGTCCATTCTAGGGGACACTTCCCCATTCTTTCCAGGGATCCGAATCTTTCCAGAAAACCATCAGAACCCCAGGGGGAAACAGCGATCGGTTTTTGAGAAAAGAACGATGGTTGAAAAGAATGGACAAGGAATCAACCCGAAGAAGCATCGCATTGGGCCCCCGTGTTTGCAGCTTCCCCTGTTCCGCGCTTCCAAAGACACACCATTTCTTGTCTCAAACGACTAGATCCATCGACTCCTTCGCCCGACCCCTAGAACAGTGCAACTTCTAGTTGAGCAGCTTCCACCGTTCGACTCATTCGACTCATTCGACTCCCCATTCTGGTTGAATCAGAGCCATCGACTTCGCCCGCCTCAAAGTCCGCCGGGCCGAGCCCAGGGTTCAGACACCTCCGCCGCTGCTGCGTGGTGCCCGGGTGCAGCTTCTGGGCGATGAAGGCCCGCAGCGCCCGCAGCCCTCGGGCGACTTCTCGGGCGACTTCTCGGGCGCTTCTGTTGGACCAGCGAGACTTTGGTGGTTCATGGGTTCATGAATGGAGGATTGGATGGGTGGTTGGTGGGTAGTGGATACCGGGCGTAGACTCAAGAGGTGATCTAGGATGTCATTGCGGTCCGGCCTTCTTTTTTCTCCAGGTCTGGAGGACCTCGTCAGGGCAATAATACTTACACCTCGAGATTCGAGCTCGCTGGTGTGTTTCACTTCCGACTTATATAGAACCCAGTTGGACTTTGCAGCAAACATCCCGTCCATGACAGTCCACAGGGGGAAACACACTTCGAGCGCTCGTGCGAAGAAAAACAAAGGTGCCGTCTGTCTGCCCCTATGCTCTGGCTGACAGCTCCGCTTGTTTACAGCTGGCCTCCGGCGACATGCAAACCGCCGTTGATCTCATTCCATCTGCGGTTGACATCATACAGTACCCTACAAGTGGGTAGCTGGGTGACCAGTTGGGTGTCTTTTTTGTAGGGACCCCCAAAAGCAAGGTGGTATTTATTGTGGTTTTGTATGCCATGTGCGGATGTTCCACCCTGAAAACTGACATCTGTAGGCGGATCTTCAAGAACCCTCGTCTTTCCACAGCAAGCCAACGCCATCTCAGCGGTAGGTTTGAGGTCACTGGTAGGTTTTGAGGTCACTGTTGAGGCTTTTGAGGTCACGGCAAGCCAACGCCAACAGGTTTTGAGGTTTAAGGATCTGCGGTAGGTTTGAGGCCACTGTCTCAGCTTAACTCTTCTTGTCATGGCCGCTCTCAATTCCCAGACGCTCCATCAGTTCCCTACACCCGCGCCCGTCTCAACAGGGCCTCCCCAAAAACATGGCTGATGAGTGCCTCTCCTTTCTCCGAATCATCCAAGTCTCCTGTTGGGAGTTTCTCCAAATGCTGGACCCTCTCTTGGCTGTTTGAAGGGAAACAACAAGCAAAGCAACCATGGGGCCTTGGGGACCCGGTCTTGAAAGACTTACCTTTTGCAGTGAACCCTGCCGCTCCCGTCCAAACTCAATGAGTTCCCTTCCGCCAAAGAGCAGGCACGCATGTCCTGTTCCGTGCTGAACACACTTGGGCGGTTCTCGAAATCGGGCACCTTCAAACTTGGTGGCTCTCCATGTGTTACCCTTTTGGAACCACCCAAAACAGCATTCAAACTCGCCCCTCGGCGAGTTTTCCTCCACCACCTCCTTTTTTCCCCGCGCCGCCGGCCTGCCACCACCAAGGCCGCCAGGAGCCTCGCGCCATTTGGCGGACTTGTCATTTGACCGTGAAGCGGGATCCCATTTTGGTTGGGATTGGGTGAATTCACTACCCATTTTAGAACCTTCATTTTGGTGGTTGGATTTTTTGGGTGCATTCACCACCCATTTTAGAACCTTCATTTTGGTGGTTGGATTTTTTGGGTGCATTCACCACCCATTTTAGAACCTTCATTTTGGTGGTTGGATTCTATTTTGGGTGCATTCACCACCCATTGTAGAACCTTCATTTTGGTGGTTGGATATTTTGGGTGCATTCACCACCCATTTTAGGATTGGGATGTTTTAGTGGGGCTACGATTTGGAGTTCGACCCACGGCCATTTGGGGCCATCGTTTTGGTGCCCCTTTTTGGGGGCCCAGGCCTGGGCCTAAGACGGGCATAAGGCCCGAAGGGATCGCGGTTTGCGGTCTGTCTGGTTTCTACCATAAACCAAGCTGGGAAGGCAACCCTCAAAACTCAGGCGGGGTCCAAGATGGTTTCCACTGGTCCCCAGGTGTTTGAAGGGATACACCGCCACCTACCCACATCAACAAAGAGGAAAACCTAGATTTTTGTGGCGGTCGTAGTTTCGGGATTAGCCAAAGCGATCTGTATCCAACAGCCTCAGGTGTTTGCTCTTTTGACAAATCCAAAAAATTGCAACTACCCTGGACACAAACCCGCAGGCACCGCGCCTCTCATGGTCATGCGTCCCACACATGAGGGGTGGCCCAGTTCAGAGTTGGCATCGGTGGGCGACAAGGGCTCCTTTTGCACAAGCTGCTCTTTACCTTTGGCGGCATTGCCATGGAAAACGTTGAACCTGAAACAAAGGGCAAACAATCTAGACTCGCGGGGGTGCCGGTCGGGTCGGGTACCCCGAGCCGACGACGGGTCAGCAACCCCGAGAAGGTCGAAATGAATACCCGCAAGTTTCCGGAAACATGTGTTCAGGAAGCTTAATAGTTGTTTTCCAGAAGCATGCTGGCTTCAGGAAACTAATTTTGCTTCTTAGCTATAAATTTCGTGAAAGGCTACCTCTGAAAGGGTTGTTGCCGAATTCGTGATACCACCCAGTCTTTCCCGCAACCATTTCCTGACACCGCCAAACCTTTCCTGAAACCACCGGCCAGTTTTTCATGAAACACCCCAGCCTTTCCTGATACCACACAACCCTTCCTAAAACCACCCAGCCTTTCCTGAAACCGCCACCCAGCCTGCAACCACACAGCCACACAGCCTTTCCTGAAACCCCGCCTATCCTGAAACCAAACAGCCTCGCCGGAAACCACACAGTCTTCCTGAAACCACCCGGCACCTCCTGAAACCTCAAAGCCTCTCCTGAAACCACCAACCAATCTTTCATGAACCCCCCCCCCCCCAACGTTGCCTGAAACCACGCAGCCTTTCCTAAAACAACCCAGTCTTCCTAAAACCACCCGGCACCTCCTGAAACCACCCGGCCTTTCCTGATTGGGCTTCCCGTACTTCCCAACATCATGGGGGGGGCCGCCGCCCCCCCGACCCCCCGCTGTGTTTTTAGATTAAGCGTACCTTTGTTTGAATCATCACCCTTCCCAACATCCCCTTCCCAACATCATGGGGGGGGCTGCCGCCCCCCGACCCAAACCTAACCCCAAATGAACCCCGAATGAACCCCCGAAGCTGGCCCTAAACCTGACCAAAACCAAACCTAAAACCAACCCTAAACCAAACCTAAACCAAACCTAAAACATCCTAAAACCAAACCTAAACCAAACCTAAAACCACACCTAAATCAACCCTAAGGGAGCCTTAAACAAACCCTAAACCTCACCTAAATCAACCCTTAACCATCAGACTTCCAACATCATATGCGACACACACTTTCGTGAAACCCCACAGCCTCGCCGGAAACCACGCGACACCTCCTGAAACCACGCAGCCTTTCCTGAAACCACGCAGCTTTTCCTGAAACCACGCAGCTTTTCCTGGAACCACCCCAGACTTTCCTGACACCACCAAACCTCTCCTGAAACCACTTCCTGAAACAACCACCCAGCCTGAAGCCACACAGCCTCTCCTGAAACCACCTAGTCCCTGAAACCACCCGGCACCTCCTTTCCTAAATTCATACACACTTCCGTGAAACCACACAGCCTCACTCAGCCTTTTCTGAAACCACCCAGCACCTCCTGAAACCACACAGCCTTTCCTGAAACCGTCCAGTCTTTCCTGAAACCACCAATCACTCTTTCATGAACCGCCCCGGCCTTTCCTGCAACCACAGACCTCTAAACCAACCCTAAACCAACCCCAAACAAACCCTAAACCCCAAACAAACCCTAAACCAACCCTAAACCAACCCTAAACCTAAACCAACCCTAAACCGACCCTAAACCCTAAACCAACCCTAAACCAACCCTAAACCAACCCTAAACCGACCCTAAACCGACCCTAAACCGACCCTAAACCGACCCGAAACCAACCCTAAACCAACCCTAAACCAACCCTAAACCAAAACCGACCCTAAACCAACCCTAAACCAACCCTAAACCAACCCTAAACCAACCCTAAACCAACCCTAAACCGACCCTAAACCGACCCTAAACCGACCCTAAACCAACCCTAAACCAATCCAAAACCAACCCAAACCAACCCTCAAACAACCCTAAAACCACCCTAAACCGACCCTAAACCGAACGTAAACCAACCCTAAACCAACCCTAAACCAACAACCTCTAAAACAACCTAAACCAAACCTAAACATCCTAAAACCAAACCTAAACCAAACCTAAAACCACACCTAAATCAACCCTTAACCATCAGACTTCCAACATCATATGCGACACACACTTTCGTGAAACCCCACAGCCTCGCCGGAAACCACGCGACACCTCCTGAAACCACGCAGCCTTTCCTGAAACCACGCAGCTTTTCCTGAGACCACGCAGCTTTTCCTGGAACCACCCCAGACTTTCCTGACACCACCAAACCTCTCCTGAAACCACTTCCTGAAACAACCACCCAGCCTGAAGCCACACAGCCTCTGCTGAAACCACCTAGTCTTTCCTGAAACCACCCGGCACCTCCTTTCCTAAATTCATACACACTTCCGTGAAACCACACAGCCTCGCTCAGCCTTTTCTGAAACCACCCAGCGCCTCCTGAAACCACACAGCCTTTCCTGAAACCGTCCAGTCTTTCCTGAAACCACCAATCACTCTTTCATGAACCGCCCCAGCCTTTCCTGCAAACACAGACCTCTAAACCAACCCTGAAACCCTAAACAAACCCTAAACCAAACCTAAACCAAACCTAAAACATCCTAAAACCAAACCTAAACCAAACCTAAAACCACACCTAAATCAACCCTAAGGGAGCCTTAAACAAACCCTAAACCTCACCTAAATCAACCCTTAACCATCAGACTTCCAACATCATATGCGACACACACTTTCGTGAAACCCCACAGCCTCGCCGGAAACCACGCAACACCTCCTGAAACCACGCAGCCTTTCCTGAAACCACGCAGCTTTTCCTGAAACCACGCAGCTTTTCCTGGAACCACCCCAGACTTTCCTGACACCACCAAACCTCTCCTGAAACCACTTCCTGAAACAACCACCCAGCCTGAAGCCACACAGCCTCTCCTGAAACCACCTAGTCTTTCCTGAAGCCACCCGGCACCTCCTTTCCTGAATCCATACACACTTCCGTGAAACCACACAGCCTCGCTCAGCCTTTTCTGAAACCACCCGGCACCTCCTGAAACCAAACAGCCTTTCCTGAAACCGTCCAGTCTTTCCTGAAACCACCAATCACTCTTTCATGAACCTCCCCAGCCTTTCCTGCAGCCACAGACCTCTAAACCAACCGTAAACCGACCCTAAACCAACCCTAAACCGACCCTAAACCGACCCCAAACCAACCGTAAACCAACCCTAAACCAACCCTAAACCGACCCTAAACCAACCCTAAACCAACCCTAAACCAACCCTAAACGAACCCTAAACCGACCCTAAACCAACCCTAAACCGACCCTAAACCAACCCTAAACCAACCCTAAACCAACCCTAAACCTACCCCAAACCGACCCTAAACCGACCCTAAACAAATCCTAAACCAACCCAAGCCAACCCTCACACAACGCTAAAACCCTAAAACCACCCTAAAACCACCCTAAACCAACCCTAGACCAACCCTAAACCAACCCTAAACCAACCCTAAACTAACCCTAAAACAGTACTAAAACAACCTCTAAAACCACCTAAACCAAACCTAAACCAAACCTAAAACATCCTAAAACCAAACCTAAACCAAACCTAAAACCACACCTAAATCAACCCTAAGGGAGCCTTAAACAAACCCTAAACCTCACCTAAATCAACCCTTAACCATCAGACTTCCAACATCATATGCGACACACACTTTCGTGAAACCCCACAGCCTCGCCGGAAACCACGCGACACCTCCTGAAACCACGCAGCTTTTCCTGAAACCACGCAGCTTTTCCTGGAACCACCCCAGACTTTCCTGACACCACCAAACCTCTCCTGAAACCACTTCCTGAAACAACCACCCAGCCTGAAGCCACACAGCCTCTGCTGAAACCACCTAGTCTTTCCTGAAACCACCCGGCACCTCCTTTCCTAAATTCATACACACTTCCGTGAAACCACACAGCCTCACTCAGCCTTTTCTGAAACCACCCAGCACCTCCTGAAACCACACAGCTTTTCCTGAAACCGTCCAGTCTTTCCTGAAACCACCAATCACTCTTTCATGAACCGCCCCGGCCTTTCCTGCAACCACAGACCTCTAAACCAACCCTAAACCGACCCCAAACCAACCGTAAACCAACCCCAAACCAACCCTAAACCGACCCTAAACCAACCCTAAACCGACCCTAAACCAACCCTAAACCAACCCTAAACCAACCCTAAACCAACCCTAAACCAACCCCAAACCGACCCTCAACCGACCCTAAACCAACCCTAAACCAACCCTGAACCAACCCTAAACCAACCCTAAACCAACCCTAAACCAACCCTAAACCAACCCTAAACCGACCCTAAACCGACCCTAAACCAACCCTAAACCAACCCGAAACCAACCCGAAACCAACCCGAAACCGACCCTAAACAAACCCTAAACCAACCCTAAACCAACCCTAAACCGACCCTAAACCGACCCTAAACCAACCCTAAACCAACCCTAAACCAACCCTAAACCACCCCCAAACCAACCCTAAACCGACCCTAAACCGACCCTAAACCAACCCTAAACCAAACCAACCCTAAAACAACCTCTAAAACCATCTAAACCAAACCTAAAACATTCTAAAACCAAACCTAAACCAAACCTAAAACCACACCTAAATCAACCCTAAGGGAGCCTTAAACAAACCCTAAACCTCACCTAAATCAACCCTTAACCATCAGACTTCCAACATCATATGCGACACACACTTTTGCGAAACCCCACAGCCTCGCCGGAAACCCTCCTGAAACCACGCAGCCTTTCCTGAAACCACGCAGCTTTTCCTGAAACCACGCAGCTTTTCCTGGAACCACCCCAGACTTTCCTGACACCACCAAACCTCTCCTGAAACCACTTCCTGAAACAACCACCCAGCCTGAAGCCACACAGCCTCTGCTGAAACCACCCGGCACCTCCTTTCCTAAATTCATACACACTTCCGTGAAACCACACAGCCTCGCTCAGCCTTTTCTGAAGCCACCCAGCACCTCCTGAAACCACACAGCTTTTCCTGAAACCGTCCAGTCTTTCCTGAAACCACCAATCACTCTTTCATGAACCGCCCCAGCCTTTCCTGCAACCACAGACCTCTAAACCAACCCTAAACCGACCCTAAACCAATCTATACCAACCCTAAACCAACCCTAAACCAACCCTAAACCAACCCTAAACCAACCCTAAACCAACCCAAAACCGACCCTAAACCCACCCTAAACCAACCCTAAACCAACCCTAAACCAACCCTAAACCAACCCTAAACCAACCCTAAACCAGCCCGAAACAACCCTAAACCAACCCTAAACCAACCCTAAACCAACCCTAAACCGACCCTAAACCGACCCTAAACCAACCCTAAAACAACCTCTAAACCAATCCTAACCAACCCTAAACTGGCCCTAAACCTGATCTAAACCAACCCTAAACCAAACCTAAAACATCCTAAAACCAAACCTAAAACCACACCTAAATCAACCCTGAGGGAGCCCTAAGCAAACCCTAAACCCCACCTAAAGCAACCCTAAACCATCCTCTTTCGTGAAACCACACAGCCTCGCCGGAAACCACACGGTCTTTCCTGAAACCACATGGCACCTCCTGAAACCACCCAGCCTTTCCTTGAAACCACCCAGCCGTTCCTGAAATCGCACAGCCTCCCCTGAAACCAGCACCCAGTCTTTCCTGCAACTACACAGCCCTCCCGGAAACCACGCAGCCTTTCCTGGAGCCACCCCAGACTTTCCTGACACCACCACACCTTTCCTGAAACCACCACCCAGTCTTTCATGAAACACATAGCCTTTCCTGAAACCACCCAGGCTTTCCTGAAACAACCCGGCACCTCCTGAAACCACCCAGCCTTTCCTGAAACCATACATACTTTCGTGACGACTGCCAGCCAGGTCAAGGTGCCACCAACACTAGGTACCTGACCCGTGGACACAGTTATCTGACTAAACCCTCCAAGGACCTGACCCGACCAACTCCCTCCATCACACACACTTTTCGTGCCTTTCCTGAAGCCGCCCAGTCTTTCCTGAAACCAGCACCCAGCCGAAAACCATCCAAGCTTTCCTGAAACCGCCCAGCCTTTCCTGCAACCACACAGCCTTCCCCACGTAGCCTTTCCTGGAACCACCCCAGACTTTCCTGACACCACCAAACCTTTCCTGAAACACCGCCCAGTCTTTCATGCAACACACAGCCTTTCCTGAAACCACCCGGGCTTTCCTGGAACAACCCGGCATCTCCTGAAACCGAGCCTTTCCTTTCGTGAAACGACTGCCAGCCAGGTCTCGATTCCACCGAAACACGGTACCTGATCCGAGGTAGCTGACCCAGGTACCTGATTCAAGCCTTGGGGTATCTGACTCGACCAACTCCCAGACTCGGGCCCCCCCCCCCCCCCATTTTCCACTCCAGTGGGTCAAAATAATTGTTCTGCTCAGGGGGAGGGTCAAAAGTAGGTCCAACACTGGCAAGCACCCTAGCCACGAACGCACTACACGCCTCGGGTCATGACGGTACATCCTCCGTGACTGGCCTGAGAACGTCTGCTCATATGGCCCAACCCAACAAGTGACCAAACCCACTAACTGGGAAGTGAATACTGTGTCAAGTGCTGATCTTCTGGTCGCGCTTCCAGCCCGATGTTCTTAATTATTCAAACAAATGCTCAGACGTTGATCATCCCCACCCCCAACCAGCACCCACGACTGCTTCTTCGACTTCCAGGTGTCCTTTCCGAAAAAACAGACATTTGCAAATGTTCAGACCAAGCTGAAGTTGAACCCAATGCTTTGCCAAACTGGCATCTAAGAGGTCACCTATGTTCCAAGCTATTCCCTCACCTGGCTAACCAGCATTCCCCCCCCCCCTTTCCGGCCATTCCGAGCCCTTGAAATCGGAAGAGGCGCCAGCGGCCGGACAGCCGCCGCTGCAGAAGCCAGGCCAAGCACAGCGCCGGCGCCGCTTTGGCCAGGGTCATGGCTCACCAACTCCCAAGCGTGAGCAGGGAGTGAGATTCTTCGATGGGGGAAAAGCGCCAGGAATTCTGGAACAGCGCCAGGAACCGATTTCCGACCCTAAGTTGGGCAAAAGCCCTTGAGGGTGCAAGACGTCAAGCGGATGATTCTCGCTAAGACGACAGCCCAGCAACCCATTCTATCTCAAGTTGCCATGGGGCGGGGCTCGTCGATTAGGAAAAAAGTGACCTCCCCCCATCAAGAACTCCATCCACGCCACCTTTTCTAGACGACACCCAGGATTCCCTCCATCTCGCCGCAACCCAGCCCGCACCCGAACAACGAAAGGAAATGCGCGAATTCACCAAATTCATAGCACATGACATGAAACTACCTCATGACAATGAGGACCGTAAAGACAAGTGGCATCCTTACAATTGCAACCCGCAGGGCTGTGTTTTATTGAGAATAGGACCCTTATCTTGCAGCCTTGAGGCTTTATCTTGAGGACATCAGAGGGTTACTGCGGGGGTTGCAGGAGCACTGGCTCCAAAGCGACACCCTCGCAATCTCTCTGGCGATTACCTGGTGGCTAAAAAAGCAAAGGGTAAAAGTTGGTGAACCCACCACCCCAAACCAACAAGCCATTCTGTGGCCATTGCCCCACCCTCCCCCCCTCCCCGGTGACGAGACATTAAATGCAGTAGTGTTGGCAAGCAGGCTGTGTAATTGACAGACCCCCTCGGCCTAGGAAATGGAATTGCTGAAGCTCTTCAGAATGCTTTTTTTTCTCCCCAACAGCTGGAAGCTTTGGGGTCTCAGCCCAGATAGGCTCCGGGGTGGTCCGGGGCGGCCCTGAGGTAAGGTTCCACCAGGGTTCCACCATGGTTCCACCAGGGTTCCACCCGGGTTCCACGTTCACAACATTCTGCGAGGCTACGGGGTGGTGCGAGCACTAAAAAGAGCGCCGAATGCTGTTGGGGATATCACCCGAGTTTATTTTTTAAAAAATACGGCACCTATTGCACATAAGAATCCAAGCCATCCACATTCACCGCGCGTACTTGTTTTTTCCCCCAACAGCTGAAAGCTTTGGGGGCTCCGCCCAGATAGGCTCCGGGGTGGTCCGGGACCAGGGTTCCACCAGGGTTCCACAAGGGTTCCACAAGGTTCTGGGCTGCGGGGTGGTGCGAGCACTAAAAAAAACACCGCATGCTGTCCTATTTTTTTTGGGGGGGAACCCCTTCGGGTCCATCTCATTTTCCTCAGCCCGACCTCGGCGAGGCAGCGGGTCGTCGGGTGGTTCGGCAGCCTCAAACACCGGTTTGGGAGAGGGGGAGCAGGGGAAGGAAAGGTGGGGAAGGGGAAACCAAAAGCACCTGACATTTCCTGCGAAAGAGTAGCGCTAGAGCCTGGCTGAAAACCAATGGAAGCAACTCACATTCCAAAGTGGGCGGGGGGAGGGGCAAGGTTGGAACCCGTGTCTCCAAAAGCGACCTGCACCCACGTTTGTTTCTCCACATGATGCCGATCCCAAGATGCTAGTTTGGGACCTGGTTGCAGCGCCAGTGGGTTTTCCAGCGAGGGCGATGGCATAGAAGGTTGATGGACGCCGGCTGTGGAGGTGTCAGGCCATCGGGTTGCTCAACATGTTCATTGAACCGCATTGGTTAAGAAGAAATCAAAACCGGCCAAAAAGGGCTCTGTTACTTCTAGCCACACACACACAGAGGCACATTTTGTTTTCTCCAACGGTCCCCCTGTTTGTGGTTGCAAAGGGAAACCAAAAGGAAGAACGCCATTTTGGGGGGCCCCCTAAAGGGAAAGAAAGAAATACTCACAACATCATCTCAGGGACTGGACCTTAAAAGCAAACAACCTGGACACTTTCCAGCCACGAAGCCGAAGAAGCAGAGCGGTGCCCCATGAATTTTCTTTCAAGCACCGCCTTTGTGTCAGATCTCTGGGAAAGGGGTCATTGACAATCCCTTCCAACCTCAACTTGACCAGGGCCTTATGAACCCCTACTAACTCAAAACACCCTGGGCGAGCGAAACAACAGCACAGTTGCAAAGCCGTGAACTGATTGATCGCAATTTTATGCCACGACGCGCATTTGGCGCTTTCTTGGGCGACGTCTGCCAAACTGCACTGACCATCTTGTACACCTTCGCACTCTTGTGGCAAGTTCTAGACAAGCGACAGGGGAAGACATCAACACCGATCCAAGATGCGCTCACGTGGCAGCTTCCCATCAGTGCCTTTTGCTAGCGATCCAGAAGTTGGGGGCCAAAGTGATTTTTTCGATTTGTTTTATAGTTCCAAAGGGGGCCGAAGATGCATCAAGCCACGTTCGTGGGAGATTCACTGAGTCAAAACGACTTGTTTCCCCTTGAAGAAATTCAGGCCCGTCCCAGAAGGCTTGGTTCATCACTCCGAGCAAAATACGAACATGCTGGTGCCAGCCAGTGCACTCCAAGTGCAACAGTCTAGAGGTGTTAAGCTCAAAGATGCATCGAAGTCAGTATCGAGTAAATCAACCGTGTCCTTGGAAGAACCCAAATTTTGCCCGCAAAACTGCATTGACCACGAAAGTGCCGCTTGCACGGAATCGAACAAGCACGAAATTATTTGACGGCGCTCATGCCAATGGCCCCTTGTAAGAGCGAATGAAAGCAAAGCTGTCAGGCCCCGGCCACAAGCAATCACCAAGTTGTGCCAAAGAAGCCAAATGGCACCAAAAACCAAATATGAAAGAAAAAGGTGCTGCCAGGTCTCATGCCAAGTTGTTGGGTCCGTCCTTTGGCAAAACAATGGACGTGAAGCGGCTGGTCAAAGACATTCAGAGCAATCAGGCGGGTGCGCGTCAGCCGGAAAAGGGATGGGAGGTCGTGCAAAACTTGATTTTGGCTAGGCAGCGCAAGAGGGCTACGCCTGCGACTACATGAACAAGCTCTTGCAGGACGATCCATTTGGGTTCCACTTGATGCTGGCAAGTGGCTGGGGTGCTGGTGGTGAAGTGTTGATCGGTGGTACCTGTGCACACTCGAGCAAAATCCCTTGTCTGGATTCAGGCACCATCTCTTGGACTTCCTTGAAGGGGACCCCTGGATTCGTTCCCTCATGCTACTGAGCACCAGCAAGTTTTGAAACACACCGAATTGCATCATGACAACATGGTCTATCTTGTGATGGCTGAGACGGGAGTGGCTGCTGCTTCTTGGTTTGGAATCCACCGACGAAGAATTGGCAATTCACCGCCAAACTCATGGGAAGCCTAGCAGATATATGCCCGTGACCACGCAAGCGGTTTCTCCTGAAACTTGGGTCCCCCTGCAGCTGATTGGTCTCCCAACACGTGTCCTTCTAATTCTATGTGGCCGCTTAGTGACAGCTCTTACTTGCTCATAATTGATATTGAGTTGTTGTTTCGTATTACCTTTGTTGGACGCGATCAAGCCAGATCGATGTCATGTTTGCTATTGGGACGTTCTCGTTCTGACCTGCGCAAATTCCTCTGAGAGGGTCCCGTGAAGAGGTTGTACCTTTTCCAAGAGAAACAAACCCCAAAGATAGGTTAGCTTCCCGTGTTTTCCCTTGGAGACGACCAACACAAATAATTGTGACCAAGCAAACCAGCAACATACCCAGCCAACAGGGACGCCAGACTTCCATAGATTGTCCCAAGGCACAAACTGCTCGATCTACTCTTCCATTTGGTTACGACCCCAGGAAAAATATTAAAAATAAGCTCAGGTCATATTCCGAACAGCACGCGGTCTCGCAGAACCTCGTGGAACCCTGCTGGAACCCTGGTGGAACCTGGTGGAACCCTGGTGGAACCTTTCCTCCGGGCCACCCCGGACCACCCCGGAGCCTATCTGGGCTGAGACCCCAAAGCTTTCAGCTGTTGGGGAAAATGTCACGTAGTGATAGATTCCCTTTGACACCAACGGGGGAAAATATAAAAAATAAGCTCAGGCGATGTCCCCAACAGCACCACACCCTCCCAGAATCGAATCCTCGCGGAACGCACCGCGACCGGTTTTGCTGAGGATGCCGTGTTGTAACTTTGTAAAGCAAAGCTAAGAGTGACTGCGCAATCGCGCCCTGATCGGGGCCCGACGGCGCAATCGGGGCCCGATCGGGGCCCGACGGCGCAATCGGGGCCCGATCGGGGCCCGACGGTGCAATCGGGGCCCGATCGGGGCCCGACGGTGCAATCGGGGCCCGAGCGGGGCCCGACGGCGCAATCGGGCCCCGACCGGGGCGCGATGTGTCCCGTGGTGCAAGCGGGCTCCCACCAACCCCAGCCACATATTATAGCTCGACGCCGGTTTTGTGTATCCAGCAAAACTAGGCCATGCCAGCTTGGTACAGTTGACGCGGCCCGACTGAGTCCGGCCCCGATCGGGGCCCGACGGCGCAATCGGGGCCCGATCGGGGCCCGACGGCGCAATCGGGGCCCGATCGGGGCCCGACGGTGCAATCGGGCCCCGACCGGGGCGCGATGTGTCCCGTGGTGCAAGCGGGCTGCCACCAACCCCAGCCACATATTATAGCTCAACGCCTTTTTTGTATCCAGCAAAACTAGGCCATGCCAGCTTGTGGTACAGTTGACGCGGCCCGACTGAGTCCGGCCCCGATCGGGGCCCGACGGCGCATTGCCCGACCTGTACCCGGTGAACCTCGCACACTTTCCTCAGGGCTGCCCCATAGCTTTTGCAGAACCTGGTGGAAACCTCGTGGAGCGTTTTTGGAACCCAAAGCCTAAGCCATACTCAGTAATGCCAAGCATTTACTCTGCTGCACAGTGAGAGTCCCGCAGCAACGTGATTTGATTTGCAACAAAGCCAACACTTCGGGCCGCACTGCCTGAAGAAGTGAGCAAGTGACAAAACATTGAAAGTGTGCTGAGAACCATGAACTTCGGTTTTGCTTAGTGTTCCGCCCATGAGCAAGGCGATCTTCTGAGCAAACGACGGGCGCACGACATATTGTTTTTCTTTAGGGCAAACCATGGAACCTTGCGAAACCTTTGTGGAACCTTTTGGCGCCTTGTGGAACCCTTGTGAGGGGAAGGGGCGCGAGTCAGCTTAGTCAGCTTTGGGGGGTGTGCAGCGCAAAGGGGAAGGGGCGCGAGTCAGCTTAGTCAGCTTTGGGGGAGGTGTGAAGGGGAAGGGGCGCGAGTCAGCTTAGTCAGCTTTGGGGGGCGCAAAGGGGGCGCGAGTCGTTCCAGCATGGCTTTACCAGGTGGTCCGGGGGTAAGGTTCCACAAGATTTCTCCACCAGTGTTCCGCCAGTGTTCCACCAGTGTTCCACCAGGTTCTGCGAGGCCTGCAGGGTGGTCCGGGGTGGTTTTTGAGAAGGTTCCACAAGGGTTCCGCCAAAGGTTCCACCATTGTTGCACCAGGTTCAAAGTTCCGCCCTGACCTGGTGGAACCCTGTGTGGAACCCTCGTCTCGTGGAACCATACATCAAACCTCGCAGAACCTGGTGGAATTTGGTGGAACGTTGGTGGAAACCTCCTGGTGGAACCCTGGTGGAACCTTGCCTCAAACCACCCCACCGCTGCCCTTGCAGAACCTGGTGGAACCGTGGTGGAACCGTGGTGGAACCCTGATAACCACTCCGGACCACCCCGCAGCCCTCGCAGAACCTTGGAACGCTGGTGGAACTTTCGTGGAACCTTACCTCAAACCACCCCAGACCATCCCGCAGCCCTTGCAGGACCTGGGTGAACCCTGTGTGGAACCCTCGTCTTGTGGAACCTTACATCAAACCACCCCGGACCACCTCGCAGAACCTGGTAAAACCTTGCCTCAAACCACCCGGGACCACCCCGCAGCCCTTGCAGAACCTGGTGGAACGCTGGTGGATCTTTCGTGGAACCTTACCTCAAACCACCCCAGACTATCGCAGGACCCCTGTGTGGAACCCTCGTCTCGTGGAACCTTACATCAAACCACCACCCTGGTGGAACCTTGCCTCAAACCACCCCGGATCACCCCGCTGCCCTCGCCGAACCTGGTGGAACCCTGGTGCAACCCTGGTGGAACCCTGGTGCAACCCTGGTGGAACCTTGCCCGGACCACCCCGCAGCCCTCGCAGAACCTGGTGGAACCCTGGTAGAACCCTGGTGGAAGAACCCTGGTGGAACCTTGCCTCAAACCACCCCGGACCACCCCGCAGCCCTCGCAGAACCTGGTAGAACTCTGGTGGAACCCTGCTAAAACCTTGCCCCAAACCACCCGGACCACCCCGCAGCCCTCGCAGAACCTGGTGGAACCCTGGTGGAACCCTGGTGGAACCTTGCCTCAAACCACCCCGGACCACCCCGCAGCCCTCGCAGAACCTGGTGGAACCCTGGTGGAACCCTGGTGGAACCTTGCCTCAAACCACCCCGGACCACCCCGCAGCCCTCGCAGAACCTGGTGGAACCCTGGTGGAACCTTGGTGGAACCCTGGTGGAACTGTGGTGGAACCCTCGTGGAACCTTACCTCAAACCACCCCGGACCACCCCGCAGCCCTCGCAGAACCTGGTGGAACTCTGGTGGAACCCTCGTGGAACCGTCGTGGAACCTTACCTCAGGGCTCCCCGGACCACCCCGGACCCTATCTGGGCTGAGACCCCAAAGCTTTCAGCTGTTGGGGAAAAACATGTTCTTAAGCAAATGGAAGTACTGACCAGGCGAGGGGGAGGGGAGGGGAGGGGAGAGGGTGGGTGGTTTGCGTTTGGTTTTCTTTGGGGAACGAAGAAGGGCGCGTCTCTTTCTGCCACGCATGCAATCTGGAGACATACCCTCCAAAACACGTGAACCCCGAAAGCGCCGTGTACCCCTGCCCCCATTTCCCCTTGCACCTACGGCTTGCATGGAGCAGACCCAGGAAGAACAGCCGAACACAATCGAGAACCCACCAAACAAAAACAGATTGGACAAGGCTAGGTTGGAATCCAGCGAGTGGTGCAGTTTGGCAATGCTTGGCATCCCCCTCGCCCCACACGAAAGTCCAAATCGGAGGCTTTCCGATGGTCACCCGGTTGATCGCCGAAAACCGGGCCCCAAATCCAACAACGTCCTCCTGCCCCCCATGCAATATGGTTGCGAGACATCATGCTTTGGGAATCCCCGTGCATCCGTTCTCCATGGATGGCCAAGGGAGCAAACTTCTGTGTGAGAAAATTTCGCAGGGCACCACACAAGGGGGCCACGTCAGCGTCGCAAAGCCTGGCTTGTTCCTTGACCCTTTTTTGCCAAAAGTGAACTCTTAGTTCGTCCCCTGAGTTCTTCAGAAGATGAGTTCAGTCGAACCAAAAACCAACTAGTCGATGCTAAAAAAACACACATTTTTCCTTGGAACCTCGCGCACAAAAGCGGGTTCCTAAGGCCAAAGATTCACCCCAAGTTTTCTTGGCGGACTTGGGTATCAACACGCCTTCCCTCAGCTTTGGCCCACCAAAACTGAAATGTATCGTTCACACTTCTCCGTGCACCTTCCAAAGAGCCAAGACCTTCAAAAACAGCTAACAACGACACTGCGCATGTATGATTTCCGGCAAAGTGAAGAGAAGATCGGTCTCAACACCCATCTCTACCACAAAGGTCTCACGGTGTGCCATGTCAGCTTTTCGCGCCATGGGTTTCACCCCTTCAAGAGTGACCTGCTTAGGGCTGCTTATGGGGGGGTAGAAGTTTGACGCTTGGAAGAGATAACAGAAAGGACTCATTGCCAGAACGTGGTCATTGCTTTGAGGTTCCGAGCAATCCTGACATTGGCTCAAACGAAATTCATTCAAGTTTGCCTCAAGATGAAAAAACAAACCGAATAAGCGGTTAGTCGCGATGAGGAAAAAGAGAACCCTTTGCTGCTGACTGATTTTAAAGGGAAAAATCCTTTCCAAGGGAAAAGGACAGGGCGTCTTGCCCTCGACCACCTCGCCCACCCCATCGATGTTTTCGGCTTCGCCTTCCATCGAGGCACTACACGTGTGCCGCGACGCAGCCTGGCCTCGGAGGCATCGGGGCAGGGGGGCGAGGGGACTTTTCTGACCCAAACAACTCGCTTCCGAACGAGTAAATTGTCCGAGAACTCTCCCATGGACTTTGATTTGCCACTAAAATCAACTGCTGACAGCTTCGCGGTCCTTGCCAGGATAGGCTGGGTAATTAGTTCGGAGTCTTTCCAGGGTTGCCGGCAACGAAAAGCACACAAGGGCTCCCCTTGGTTTGCACTCGTCTACCCGGCTTTGGATTTGCACGCGGCGCACTTTGTATCTCTCTCTGGCATCATTGCGGCGCTTCGGCAGCTTTCAAAAAACCAGCTGGCCATCGCAGACTTTGATTCCCGCTGGGTCGGACACACTTCTCTGAAGTCAACACGGAACGGGAGCCGTCATTCCCTGGCCAACAGAATTCTGGATCCATGCTTGGGGCGCCGGCAAAGCAAAACAAGACGCTTCCTATGGAGCATCAGTTTGACGGAGTTGTGAGTTATTCCATGGCCAACTCCCGCTCTGTACAGCTCAAGGATCCAAATCAAATCTCGAAATCTAGCCCTCAGCTCCGCTGCCGGGCATCTCTGCATCCGCCGGCTCCGACCCGGCTACGCTGCCCATGCTCGCGATGGCGCTGGGGGCGCTGGACCGAGCGGCGAGCGAACCGAAGGTCACCAGGCCGAAGCTCGGAAGTTGGAGCATTTCCAGCGGACCATCGGGATCCAGCCTCACCTCGTACAAGGTCGTGTGCTCCTACAAGGAACGTGTTTCGGACACGCGAACGAAACGGTGTCTCTTCTCCTTGTCTTCCTGGCTGGGGAATACTGAGCTAAGGGAAGCCACTTGAAAAGATCCTTCGATTGATGAAACGCTCCCCGAAAATTCAAATGCCCGACTGCAACTACAAACCCCCCTCCCACTTTCCTGTGCCCATATATATATATAAATTGCATATATATATATATATATTACAAGCTCCAAGTGGCAAGTGTTCTAAACAGGCTCAACAATCTACTTCCTTCATTGAAACTAAGTCCTGGGTTCTGGGTTCCTTGGAACAAAACAGAGGGGTCCCACAAACAATTCAACGACATGGTGTTTTACCACGAAAGGATATGGTTTTCTTCGCACCAGAACTTGGCAATCAAAAGCAAGACTGCAATTGTCAAAAAAGTTGTTGAAATTTGGGTTCGAGCATGTTGCAACAAACAGCTCTTCGGGCTGCCCGAAACTGCGAATCCCATCCTTTCTGCTGGTGACCTTGGTCAACTTCTGCCGCTTGCAGCCCACAAAGACCATGTTGCCCACGCCGAGCTGGTCTGCGCGCTCCGCCTCGTAAGCTTCGCCTGACCAAACAAACCGACCAAAACCTAGCGGCTTTGAGCATACGATGGCTAATCAAATCGATACTGGGTCACTCTTCGATTTCTGCAACACGTTTGACTTTTGTTGGTTAGGGGGGCAACTCTCATTTTCCCGAGTCAAAGGATACGGCTCCAACCAAAGCGCAGTCAAACCTACAGTAATCTGCCCTCGTTGTGCCTATTTACCGTCACTTTCTAACCCAGGCGTGAAATATCCTAACGTGGCCAGGGGTGTCCCGCTGCTCAAATGACCTGAAATTCGATGCAAAGAGAAGGGCTAAATTTGTTGAAGCCATCAAAACCAAGTTCCTCAAGGGGAACCCTGACTTGAGAGCCAAGGTGGTAGCATGCATCTTTGAACGGATGCTTTCGCACGGGGACCTATAGTGTCCAAATATGATGCGGCCCGCCTTCGGAATCAACGTGCCCAATCTGATTTGTCCCTTCGGACCCTTCCGCAGGAACTGCGACACGGTGGGATTTCGACACGGTGGACCGCGATTGGCGCGTTGTGAGGTCAACCAAGTCGTGAGGCTTCTTCTTGGCCTGGTGCATGTACATGCCCACCACTGACGCTTCGGTCTGGTCCACCAGGCGCACCCGGTCTCCCAGCTTCAACTTCTCCACTCGCAACAAGTGGCCGTCCACGCCGTGCAAAGCCGTGTTCGGCAAAAAGCACTTGGCCGAGCGGCTGCTGGTGTCCGAGTACATGTCTGACTTCGGAAGCCGGGGGGTTGCACCTGAGCTGTGCTCAAGTGACTGCACGAACCCTTTGATACTTGCTCTGGACAGATTTTGACAGAATGTTTGGAAACCAACAGGCCTGGACCTTCCTCAGCTTGAGGATCGTTGGAGTCGGAGCAGCTGAAGGCCTTGGCAAAGTCAGTTGAAACATGACAGTCACCTCAAAAACTAGGTGCCCCTGGAATAGGTGCGCCAGTAAAGACATTCCAATTCAACAGAAAACCTAAAGCGCTTCAGCATACGGCACTTTCAGAATCCCCAAGCTCAAAGCCAACGCTTCCCAAAATATGTCAACTTGAGAGAAAACGGCGACCGCAGTGACCGTACCTGTTTTCTTAAAACACAACTCCAGCTGGGGTGCCAAGAAGGCATCGCACTGCTCCTTCAGCTGCAAGATGCACTGCGTCATCTCTGACTTCTGCGCCTTCTGGGTCAGCAAAGCAAACCTCTGCTGCAGAGTCTCATTCTTCTGCTGCAAATCTTCGAGTTTCTTCATCTCCTTTGCCTTCTGCTGCGCCAGCTCGTCCAGCTGCTTCTGCAAGTTTTGCACGATCTCCGCCTGCTGCTTCTCCGTCTCAAGCTGCTCCATCAGCGAATCAATCCTCTGGTGCAATGCCTTGTTCTCATGCTGCGCGGACTCGGCTTTCTGCGTCTCCTCTTTCTTCTCCCGCGTCAACAGCTCATAGAGCTGGTCGATTCGGGCTTGGAGTTGCGCACAGGCAGGCGGCGGGCTCTGCAGGGTTCCAACAGGCCCAGGCAGGGGAAGCAACGAGAAATCGAAGCGGTCCACATCTTCTGAATCCATGTGCAACTCCAACTGCGGCTCGGAACTTTCGAAGGTCGCCTCCAGCACCAGCCTCTCCCCGGCCGCCTCCACCCACAGCTTCCACCGCCGCCGCCCCACGGCCTTCTCCCAGCGCAGCCGCACCGAACCGACGCCCGGGAGGTCGTGGCGCTGCCACCCCCAGCCGCCCGGGGCTACGTAGCGGCGGCCGTCCGCGTCGAAGCCGACCGATGCCACGGGCCTCGGCGCCGCCCCAGGCCGCAGCTCGCGGAGCCAAGCCCAGGTGCGCCCGGGGGCCCGGGGGCGCAGCGCCAGGCCTTCGGCGCCGCTCGCGGGCCACGGCGCCGTGGAGCGCCAGCCGTTCGCGGGGGCCTGCCACACGAGCTCCGAGGGGGCCATGGCTTGGGACGGTGTGAGAGGCGAAAGCCGGAAACTTCTGAGACTCTTGAAGCCGAAATCTGGTAAAGCCGAATCCAAAGTCAGGTTGCACTTGACTTCTGAGACTGGTCATGCTGAAATCTGCTCAAAAGCCAACCGCAAAGGGTGACATTGATCTGCAAAAGCCAAACATTCAGAAACAAAACAGCTTCCGAGCACCAGGTGTTTGCCAGAGACTGACACCCTGTGTCCCTCAGCTCAGCGCTTGTGCGCCAGAGGCCCCGGCCCAAACTGCGCACCCTGCGTGCCTGCAACTGGAAGCCTTGAGGCCGGGTGGAGGGTCCTCCGAAAATGACCGCGGGGCTTCTGGCTCATGAAGAATTTGTGTTTGCTTCGTTTGACATGGCCGTAGCTCTGACCTTCTCACGATACGCGTCTATACCAAACCAAAAGAAAGTCTGATACACACAACATGGCATCCTACACACTGAGCTTTGGCTCTTGGGTGGGCAGATTCATGACCTCAAAAAGGAATCACTGGTCAAAGGGATCCTATGCTACCATGTTTTTGGTCAAAAACCAGCCTCTGGAGTCTCCAACCAAGCAAACACAAAACCGATAAACACACACACATATTTGTGTGCAAAGAATCTGGAAAGAATGAGTGTGGCTGGAGTTATGTTTCGTTCGAAAAACTGTCCCCTAATTAATGAGTCTGTCCAGAGAAGAAAAGAACAGCCGACCCGAGGCCAGAGTTCTTTTGCACCAGAGCAATGGTTGCAAAGGATGCAGGAGGTACCCAGCCACTGCGGTTCGGCCAAACACATCCAGTAATCTTATTAGGGAAGGCTCTTTGTTTCAAAGGGAAACCGCGGAAACCGTTTTGGGGGGTCGTTTGGACCACAAAAACCCGCAACGTACGAGAAACAACCGCCGCCGGCGTCCTGGAGCCCCGTTGGCAACAGGCAAGGCGCGAAAGAGCTGCAACCGGAAGCATCCCATGAAACGTTCACAGCTCTGGTTGTCATCGTTTCTTGGAAGGGTACCAAACACGAGTGCCACTAAAGAACTGCTATATCAAGTACTGCAATACCTTGTATTATGTTGGCGTTATTTTTACTTCCAGGCCTTCATAAGGAAACCTTCACCACATTCGGAAGGCCCAATTAATTGTTCCAGCCGACAGGACCTGCCCGCCGTTGGCTTATTTCCGGCCGCAACCGCCTGATGTTGCTATATATATATATATGTATATATATATATATTATAAATATATAATTGTGTTATCCCCATTTGGTTGAGTAGAACATCGTGGCTGCTTGGAACACCACATTTGGAGAACAAATCCCATCCACTTAATGCGTTGCCGTTTTGTATTTGATGTCTCTGGATTTCCTTTCAGGCGCTGCTTGATGCTTTCGGCAAAATGTGGCAACCGAGCACGGGGCGAAGGCTCCCAAGCGGTCAGCGTCAGCACCCGAGCGCTTGCCTCGGCTCGCCGCTCGCCGTTGCCAGGCACGGCCACCTGATCTCGTGGCGGCAGACCTGCGCAAGGCGCATCGTTCGGCTCAGCGGCGCTTGCGGCCCGGCCGCATGTCTTCAGCTTGCTTTGTCGGTTTGGACTCGTGGTTTGGAGGTTAGGGGTGGATGCCACATTTGTGCAGATCTAGGGGATCAAAACCTACGACTCTCCTGGTGCCCTTTCAGTTGTTTCAAAGGTGGAGTCCAAATACTTCTTCCCACCGGAACACCACCATTTTTGTTTCTGGACAGGACCAGTGAGGTGCCCTCATGCCAAAATATGGCCCCCTTGTTGGATCCCGGGTGCTACCTCGGGCCGCCTTGTAAAGGGAGTACAAAAACAAGATTTGGACAATTCAAATCAGAACGGGGGAGATTCGCGACACATCCTCTCTGCACGGACCGTGCCGGGCTCAGGCTCATTCTTTTCCAAATCAAGCTTCAAGTGGTGGCACAGCTTCTTCGAGTAGATGTTGTTATTTTCAATTGAGCAACAACAGGCATTCAGGTCATACCTGTACGGGTATGTGTGGGCAAAAATATGATCCCCAAAATGGTAATCATGTTACTTTTGTGCCGAGCAACAAACCGCAGAATAATTATTGCTTCAATACGGAAACACGGCCATAACGGGCCAGCGGACCATGGGTTCACATGACGTATACTAGATGCATTCCTTGAGCCTATTTTCCCACCAAACCATGGGTTGGACTCCCTTGAGGCAACCCGGCAACGTGGTGAGCTGACTTCCCCGTTCAACGCACCGGCAAGAAAAGTGCATGGGCAGTGGGCCAAACATCACAATGTAGGGCAACCCCAACACGGGCTGCCAAGCAGATGGAAAGGACGGAAACCCCCCGCGCTCCGACTGGCAGACGGAAATTCGGACATGTTAGCCCCGCGCGGGGGCTGGGGGCAGCACCGGCGGGCCCCGGACGGTGTCTTCCGGAGCCCGGCTGTTCCCCCCGGCAAAACGGAGGTCGAAGCGGCGGGTTTTCGGTTTGGAAAACTGCATGGGTCCTCAACCCTTGCCCGGCCACAGACCCAAGAACAAGTGAGCAAAGCCGACCCACCAGAAGACATGTGTTTCGCGCAAAGCGGCCTCCCCGCAACAGACCCCGCCTGTGGCCGCTTTCCCAGCGCGGGCCCTTTCGCCGCCGCCACTGCCTCGGAGCTCCGAGGTGAGACCCGGGAGCTCTTTCCATGTGCCCAGGTGCTTTGGCGGTTTCCCATACCTGGCCTGGCATTGAACTACCCTAGGCCTGGCTCAGTCAAAACGGTTTTTGTGGCGGATTTGTAGGGCTGGCTGAGGCATTAACTATCTGGTTGGTTTGGAGCAGCGCGATCGAACTGCCAAACAAACCAACAGCTAACCTGAGACCCCGAAGCATAGCCCGCAACCAGTCCTAGTCCGTATTGCTAGGTTGAAACCAGAAGGGAACCGAGAACCCATTATAAGGGTTCTCCGGGTTCTCCTTTAAGGCAAACCCATCCACCTGAGAAGTTCTACCTTGAACCAGCCCAACGCAACTTTGCCAGCGCCAAATCTGCCATCCCATCAAATCATCCAATCAGGCAGCTCCCCAATTCGGACCGATTGAGTGAAACCGATGGAAATGAAAACCTATTGACAGTCCAATGTGAAAATTGCCAAGCCCAGAATGAGGTCGGATACATTTGACAGCACAAACGTGTGTGCTTTTCTTGTGGGTATCCTGTCCAGGGTGGTTTAAAGGGAAATCAAAAGGAGCACACCCTCCCCTACTTTGACGTCGCTTTTCTTAAGGGCGAACCCTGTTTTGGGATAAGCCCACTGCCACGATTCAAGCTGCAGAGGGATCCTTCCTGGCACTCTGTTCCGTCAGGCACGTCTTGGGACCAGTATCATTCTGGCTCGATAGGCAGGGGATGAAAGAATGCAACAAAGGCCAGTGTCTCTCTCAAAAGAGCAATGGTTGCAAAGAATGCAAGAGGTATCCAGCCATGGCGGTTCGGCCAAACAAATCTAGCAGTCTTGTAGTCATAGGGAGGGCTCTTTGTTTCAAAGGCAAACCGTGGAAGCCACTTTGGGGGGTCGTTTTGCCCACACAAAACCCGCCACTTGCGAGGAAAACCATCGGCGGGCCAGGCCCGAGCCGGGCGTTCACACCGGTCCGCGTCCTGGAGCCCTGATCCCGTGGCGGACCTGCGCAAGGCGCATGGTTCCGCTCAACGAAAGCGGCGCCTGCGGCCTTTCCGTTGCAAAGCCTCTGGCTGCACGTCTTCAGCTTCGGTTTGGACTGATGGCTTGGAGGGCTGGATTCCCATTCACCCGCGAGATCTAGAGGTTCAAAACCTCCAACTAAGGGTCACCTGACGCTTGTCAAGACTTGGAACACCCGCGCCGCTCCAAATTTATTTCACAAGTGGATTCCACGTTTCTTCGCGCCGGAACACCACCAGTTTCCTCTGCAGGCTACATATGGCCCCCTTGTTGGACTCGGGCGCAACCTCGGCACGGACCGCGCAGGCTCAGGCGACCAGTTGCGCCGTTCTTTTCCAAATCAAGCTTCAAGTCATTGCAGCGTCTAGATATTCGAAATGGTTGTTCATATTCCTTTCCCTTTCAACCACACCAACAGGTACCGAGCCTCGGAAACACAAAAAAAACGCTCACCCGCAGAATAAAAATTGCTTCAACACGGAAACACGGCCATACATGGCCGGCAGACCATGGGTTGACATGACGTTTGGGCCGTTCAACGCGCCCGCAAAAACGTGCATGGGCTGTGGGCCAAACATCGAAACATGGGGCAACCCCAACACGGGCTGCCCACAAGCAGATGGAATGGACGGAAAACCCCCCGCTCCGACTGGCAGACGGAGATTCGGAAATTGCCCGCCTTGCGGGGGACTGGGGGCGGCACCGGCAGCCCCCGGACGGTGGCAGCACCGGCCCCGTGAAACGGAGGTCGACGCGGTTTTTCGGAGCTCGCCACAGGCCCAAGCGAGAAGAGCCGAGCGACCAGAGTCCTCAGAGACATGTCGTTCGCGTGAAGCGGGCGGACCCCGCGACGGACCCGGCGACGGACCCCGCCTGTCGCCGCTTTCCCAGCGCGGCCGTGCCGCCATTGCCTCGGAGCTCCGCGGTGAGATCTGGGAGCTCTTGAGGCCATATGCCCAGGTGGTTTTTCCGGGTTGTTTCCCTTACCAAGCTGATACCATGCCATCAAAAAGAGCCACACCCGTTTGGGAACATCGTATGGACCAAAAGGAGGTCACCAAGAAGGGCACGTAGGGGTCTGACTTTGAGCAGTTGGGCCTTTTGGACGTCAAAGACTCGTAGGCTGTGCCCAGATCGAAACGGGAAACGTGCTGAGTGCTTGGGTCAGTGGACCATTCCAAAGAGTAATGGATGCTTTCGTTGGCAAACTGACACACGGGAATGCAGAAGACCTGCCTTCCGCTTGCAAGCTCAGTTGGGGATCAGGCTCAGGCAAAACTGTTTTTGTGGCGGATTTGTAGGGCTGGCTGAGGCATTGCTTATCAGGTTGATTTAGAGTAGCGTGATTGAACTGCCAAACAAGCCATGACGGCCACTCCGAAGCATTGCCCGCAACCAGTCCTACTGCATATTGTTGGGTGTGGCTTTGCTTTGTGGAACGGGCCCCGTTTTGGTTGGTGTTCTAGGTTGAAACCAAAAGGAAACCGAGAACCCGTTGTAAGGGTTCTCCGGGTTCTCCTTTAAGGCAAACCCATCCACCTGAGAAGTTCTGCCTTGAACCAGCCCAACGCAACTTTGCCAGCGCCAGATCTGCCATGTCCCATCAAATCATCCAACTAGACAGCTTGAGTGGAACCGATGGAAATGAACAAAAATCCAAGCCCAGAGGCTCTGGAAAGCTTAGAATGAGGTCGGAGACGTTTGACGCAAACGTGTGTGCTTTTGTTACGGGTGCCTTGTCCAGGGTGGTTTGAAGGGAAATCAAAAGGAGCACACCCTCCCCGATTTTGACACATATCTAAATGGATACACAAATACGCGTCTCTTTTCTTAAGGGGAACCCCTGTTTTGGGATAACCCCACTGCCACAATTCACGCTGCAGAGGCATCCTTCCTGGCATTCTGTTCTGTCAGGGACATGTTGGGACCAGTATCCATGCTGGCTCAAGGCAGGGGATGAAAGAATGACCCCTCTGAACCCTACCTGCGGTTTCCTTTGAATGGACCCTCAAGCTCATGTCTAAAACTCCTTAGACAACTCCCTACTCAGAACCAGCAAGATCAGTGTTGGACAAATGAATGCAGCCCATGCGTTTTATCGGCAAACAGTTTCACGTCATTTAGACATCTCTGAGCTCAACGCCTCCCCCGACTGTTGAGGCCTGGTGATTGCGATTCTGAAACACGAGTTCCTCCCTTGCAGAGCAAAAGCATAGAAAAGCGCAAATTCAGGAAATAGAGAAGCCACTCTGAGAAGGACCTTCGAGGCATCGATCTTTCCTCTTTACGGCCCTTGGGCCTTTGAATCCGCTCGCACAGTTGGCTACTTCCCAAAGACCCGAAGGCATCTGGGGAAGGACACCTGACTCCCAACTTCAGCATAGCAACAGCTCGGCGCTAACAACAAAAACTCTAGCCCACATAAGGCGCAAACTCGACCCCACTCCCTGCGCCCTAATTACGCAGCCGTCCTTTTGGTTTCCCCAGTGGTTGCTTCAGGGAGGCCACACGCGTACTGGGCACATGGCCGTCTGCAAAAAAAGCTCTGGCGCCTTGCTGGGCGGAGAAAGTTGAACGTCGAATGTTTTCCTGGCGCCCGGAAAACAGATAGGAGAATCGGGGAACCTGGTTCGGAGGGGTCGTTCCCTCGTTCAAGTGTCATAAAAACCTGGCCCTCCAAAAAACCATGCGCCGTCCTTTCACTTGCCCTGTAAAGCACCCATCAGAAGGGTGCTCCTGGTTTCAAGGCCTCCTTTTCCGCAGATGCTGGACTCAAGCCGAATGGATATGCAGCATATCGGCCCATTCCATTTTAGGGTTCCATAGTGTGGGACCGGCAAACTTACAATGTCAGCTCCTGATTCATCCACCCCGCAGCCAAGGGTACCCCAGCATGCATCAATAACAGCATGTGTTATTCAATCAGGGCCCATCAAACCCAAACTCCCTCGGCACACGATCCCTCATACTGCGGAGCACTCGCTTAGCTCCCTTCGCTCGAGCATCACACCTCCGAATCCCACGCCCGCCCCAAGGTGCCTTGAGCTGGGCTTCCCTCAACAGGAAGTTCCGGTTGTCTGCGAAGAGCTCGTTGGGAGGATCGAGAAACACCGGCGCCCTCACACCGGGCACGAAGCAGCGTCAAATCGTTCTACTTGACACCTTCCTAACACTTGCATGGCATCTTTGGGGGACTCCGACCCACGTTGAGGAAGCCCCCAGAAAGGAAGCTTTTGGAAGCCACCAGAGCTGCAAGAAGCCACAAGCTTGCATTTTCCGAAATGCGTAGAAACCTATGCCTCAGCTCTTGCCCAACCAAAATACCGCGTATGTCTGAGTCTTGTCGTGTGCATCTTCAAATCTATAAATGGTCCCAATGGAGATCCCAGGCCCCTTCCCTTTTCGCGGATCGGAAGCAGCACGTCGTCCCGTCAGGGCGAATTCCTGGACCCATGGTGGACACCACGCCAAAGGCAGTGCTTATTCCTGTGAGCAACACCTTCATCCTTCACCTCTGAAACTGTTGACTTTTGTACAGATTGTGCTGAGTAGATTAGATTAGTTTTATCTGATGTGCGTGTCTCACTTGCTCTGTCAGGGTCTATGGATTTCCGCGGCACCCCCGGGCTGCGGGCGCAAAAGACAGACCGCCTCTGGTCTGAGTTGTTGGCACCTGTCCGCTGCTTTGCTCGGACTCTGGTCCACTGGTAGAAACTGAGGAAACGCCCAAAAACGCATGCTTTGCCGGGTCTGGTCACAGAAACGGCAGACCAAAAACGGAGAAAGAACAAAAGGGACCGAAGGCCGTAAGAAACGGAGCCTTTCAGAAATGGAAGGCTGTCACTGGCGCCTCCGCAGTGCATGGTCCTCGAGTCGTAAAGGACCAGGTCCCCTTGTCTCAGCGTCATCTTCCGGTGAGGCACGCCGAAGGCCTCGTTTCCGGTAAAGCCCTTCCAAAGCGGCAAAAAAGGTTATCTCGGGGTGTCGGGATATCCATCCCTTGTGCTCCCGTCGATTCGCCCAGCTTCGCCTTGCGTGGAATCGAGGCAGCAGCCCGGTAGGCCGCAATGAGCCCGGCCTCGGCGGCATCGACACGCCAGGCGGAACTTGCTTCCGACCGAGTCGATCGAGTCGAAGGTCCCTGACTTTGACTTGCCACAGCTGGCGCTGGGGTCTTGAGCGGTTCCAGGGAACTGGGCGTGTCCCAACCAAAGGGTATCCCAACGAAACGGAGACCAGCGGGCTCTGAAGAAATTCCCGGCTTCTCGGCACACTTTGTGTCTGTCTCTGTCTTTGCAGCGCTTCGGCAGCTTTCAAAAAAAGGCCAGCTTGCCATTGCAGACTTTGATTCCCGCTGGGTTGGCAACACTTCGCAGAAGCCAACGCGTAACGGGAGCCGTCACTCCTTGGCCAACTGAATTAAGGATCCATATTTCGCTGGCAAAGCAAAACAAGAAGCTTCTGACGTGAAGCATCACTGCATCACTCATTTTGGACGAGTTATTCCATGGCCAGCGCCTCTGCACAGCTCGTTTGATCCAAAGCAAACCTAGGCCTCAGCTTCGCCGCCGTCCATCTCTGCGTCAGGCTGGTCGGAAGCGACGCTACCAAAGGTCACCAAGCCGAAGCTCGGGAGCTGGAGCATTTCCAGCGGGCCGTCTGGCTCCAACCTCACCTCGTACAAGTGCGTGCGCTCCTCCGACTCCAAAGCACCGAGTTGAGGGCAGCTCCGACGGCCAACCCGCTCGAATTCAGCCCCGTTTGCCTAGACCTACACCTCCAAGCGACAACTTAACAAGCAGTTGAACCAGCTTCCATTTGCAAACGTTGCATCCTGGCTAGTTGGTTTGGGGGGCCCTTCAAAACTACGTTTGTTTGCCAAGAAATGGTTGGATTTGGTCGAGACACCGTCGTGTCGGCAAGCCTTGTTTTGGCCCGAATGGCAGCAGTTCTGAGTGTAGACAGAGGATAAACCAACTCCCGTGCTCTTCGCTGTGGTCGGATAATTGGGGTCAAAACATACCATGCGCCCCTTCAAACTGAAGCCTACAAAACTATTCAACTGGCGGGTGAGCCAACCCGACTCGGGAAGCCCATCCTGTCGGCTGGTGACCTTGGTCAACTTCTGCTGCTTGCCACCCACAAAGACCGTGTTGCCCACCCCGAGCTGGTCTGCGCGCTCCGCCTCGCAAGCTTCGCCTCGCAAGATCAGCGGCCATAAGGATTTTAAGCATGAACCAACATGGTCAAGGACTTGTCTTCTCATCGTTTGCCAGAACGGCTTTTCTGGCGGCTTGGTGTTCATGCGGCTCATTTGGTTTTGGTCGCTGCTTGACCTCCATCTTCCAGCTTAGCTTGCCAAGCCAGGGAATGGAAACTGGCCAGCTGCTCAAGTAAGAAGATACTTCACGCACAAAGCAGGAGGGGATGGATTGGTTGAAGGCACGATCAGGGCTCCTTTCAAGGGGCAAGCATGACTTTCAGTGTGTGTAGAGCATTGGAGCAACTTGAAACGGATAGCGTAAAACAGAGTCCATATTGGCTGAACCAGGTTGCAAGAATAGATGAAGTCGAAACATGAGATCGCAAACCCCCAATCAGATGTGCGCCTTCAGACGCCAACGAAGGTACTGCCACGCGGTGCGACTTGGACACGGTAGAGAGCCCTTGGCGCGTAGTGAGCTCCACCAAGTTGTAAGGCTTCTTCTTGGCGCGGTGCAAGTGCATGCCCACCACGGAGGCTTCGGTCTGGTCCAGCAGCCGCACGCGGTCCCCGATCTTCAACTTCTCCACTCGCAGCAAGTGGCCATCGACGCCGTGCAAAGCCGTGTTCGGCAAAAAGCACTTGGCCGAGCTGCTGGTATCCGAGCACATGTCTGACTGATCACCGACAAGAGTGAACGAGTCCACAGCATCTTCCGAAACCGGGGTTGCACCTGAGCCGTGCTCAAGTGACTGCGCGAACCCTTTGACGCTTGCTCCGGACAGATTTCAATGAGTTTCAATATGACAGAATGTTTGGAAACCAACAGGCCTGGACCTTCCTCAGCTTGAGGATTGTCGGAGCTGAAGGCCTTGGCAAAATCAATTAAAACATGGCAGTCACATCCGCAGAAACTTGGCGCCCCTGAAATAGGTGCGCCAGTAAAGACATTTCAAATCAACAGAAAACCTAAATCGCTTCAGCATACGGCACTTTCAGAATCCCCAAGCTCAAAGCCAACGCTTCCCAATATATGTCAACTTAACAGAAACCACCGCTCATTGACGACCGCAGTGACCATACCTGTTTTCTTAAAACACAACTCCAGCTGGGGTGCCAAGAAGGCATCGCACTGCTCCTTCAGCTGCAAGATGCACTGCGTCATTTCTGACTTCTGCGCCTTCTGGGTCAGCAAAGGATTCGCCTTCTGCAGCTTCTCCGTGTTAAGGTCTTGGAGTTGCGCGTGGGCGGACAGCGGGCTCTGCAAGGCTCCAGGCCCGGGCAGGGGAAGCAAGCAGACATCGAAGAGGCCCACATATGCTGAATCCATGTACAACTCCAACTGCGGCAAAGCCCCGAAGGTCGCCTCCAGCACCAGCCTCTCCCCGCCCGTCTCCGCCCACAGCTCCCACCGCCCCGCGGCCTTCTCCCAGCGCAGCCGCACCGAACCGCGGCCGGGGAGGTCGTGGCGCTGCCACCGGCCGCCCGGAAGCTGCTCTTCGACCCAGCGCCAGCCGTCCGGGTGGAAGCCGACCTCCGCCACGGTCCTCGGCTCCGCCCCAGGCCGCAGCTCGCGGAGGAAAGCCCAGGACCAGTCGGGCGCCTGAGGCCGGGGGCGCAGCTCCAGGCCTTCGGCGCCGCTCGCGGGCCACGGCGCCGTGGAGCGCCAGCCGTCCCGGTCCACGGACGCCTGCCACGCGAGCTCCGAGGGGGCCATGGCTTGGGACGCTGTGAGAGGCGAAAAGGCGGAGACTTCTGAGACTTTTGAAGCCGAAAGCTGCTAAAAGCCGAATCCAAAGTCAGGTTGCACTTGACTTCTGAGACTGGTCATGCTGAAATCTGCTCAAAAGCCAACCGCAAAGGGTGACATTGATCTGCAAAAGCCAAACATTCAGAAACAAAACAGCTTCCGAGTACCAGGTGTTTGCCAGAGACTGACACCCTGTGTCCCTCAGCTCAGCGCTTGTGCGCCAGGGGCCCCGGCCCAAACTGCGCACCCTGCGTGCCTGCAAAAGGAAGCCTTGAGGCTGGGTGGGGTCCTCCGAAAATGACCGCCGGGCTTCTGGCTCATGAAGAATTTGTGTTTGCTTCGTTTGACATGGCCGTAGCTCTGACCTTCTCACGATACGTGTCTATACCAAACCAAGAGAAAGTCTGATACACACAACATGGCATCCTACACACTGAGCTTCGGCTCTTGGGTGGCAGATTCATGGCCTCAAAAAGGAATCACTGGTCAAAGGGATCCTATGCTACCATGTTTTTGGTCAAAAACCAGCCTCTGGAGTTTTTACTCAAGTAAGCACGAAACCGCTAAACACACACATATTTGTGTGAAAATAATCTGGAAAGAATGAGTGTGGCTGGAGTTATGTTTCGTTCGAAAACCTGTCCCCTGATCTGGGGTGCATTTAAGAATGTCAAAAAAACATGTGGGTTATTTGTGTGTTTCTCGATGTTTATTTGTCGCTGGCATTTCGAGAAGCAACAGTAATTGGCTCGGCAAGGCTTGTCACGGCTTGTCACTGAACAACTTCATTGCAAGGTTTACCCTTTACCTTTTATGGTTTGAACTTGGTTCAACCTTTTTGCGGAGAGAACTTAGCAATGTCAAACCCATGAAACACGTGTAAGTTTGGGGAAACCCTACGTTGCTTGATCCCTCGTTGCCAACATGTGGCGGGTGTACCCCCTAGCGACCGACATGCAATAGTGACTATGTTACTGTACGAGGACCTGGGGCTTTCATGATCGTCTCGACCACGCGATGAGGCCACTTCATGCTGTCGTTCAACGTCAGCCCAACAAGTTGAGCACCAGCGAGCCTTCGTTTTTGGGGCACCGGTTTGTTCGGCCCGTTCGTGGCGCGATCTTCAGGGGCTACCGACAAGTAGTACGTACTTGGGAGATTATAATAACTTGCCCTGGGTGTCTTGTTGCAGGTGCAACGTAGTTTTGGCTTGTTGATGACCACGCGCTAGGATGAACAGGCTGAGTTGGACTGAGACTGGGTCTCTGTGTGTCTCTGTGTGTGCAAGACTAAGAGAGACCGTGTAGTAAGTACTCCTGAGGGCAGCGATGAATCGCGAGCACATCACCGCCCAGGGCACAAGTGGCATCATCATGTCATACAAGCATCCAAGCTGCAAACATCAAAAAAAGAGCGGCTTCCCCGAACATATCGTGTTTCATCTGCAGGCAGGCAAATGAAGCTGCCACAAAGAGGACTTGCTGGGTGAATCCGGCGTTTCAAGTCCGCTCCTTCGCCGCCTTGGCGGGTCCTGAGTGAGGAGGAGGCCTTTTTAGAAACTCCGTAGCAGGTGAATCAAGGCCGGGCTAGGAGAAAATTGCCAGCGGGCAGCCACGGTCAACCATGCTAAGCTACTTTTTCAATGTGAAACAATTTGCAAACTGCCAAGGAAAAGTGCAACAAGTTCAAGACCGTGGCTGCGAACGCTGTGGCCTTTCTCACGGAAGGGGAGCAATGCAACGACCGTGAACCTTGCCCAAAGCTAGTTCTCGCATTAAATGCTGCCGTGTAGTTTTGCTGAGTTGTTTTCCTCACAGAAACTGGCAAGGGGCTGGCCCATCAACTTTTTCTTGGAGGTTGACGCATCGAAAGCGATGTTTAGGGGGAGCTGGTAGGCCTCAGGGGTGTAGTAGGCACCAGTAGGGGTAGCTCTGCGGGGCACGCGGGAGTCAAAACAGGACAATCCGAGTAGCCTCAGAACTCATTGGTTCCAAAAATAAATTAATTGCGGGTTTTGCAAAACTAAAAGTCTCGCATTTAAGCTAATCACTGTTTTAGCGGTGGGCTGCGGGGGCCCCACCCTCAGGACAGCCGGTAGCGCTACCGACTGTCGTAAGCAACCCCCCCCGGTTCAACGATATCGTTTTTTGGGCTGTTTGAAGCGCGCCAGGGCTAGCCCAAGATGCATTCAACAATGTCACGGGGTGCCCCACGACAGTCGGTAGCGCTACCGACTGTCCTAAGGGTGGGGCCCCCGCGGCCCTACCGCTAAAACAGTGATTAGCTTAAATGCGAGACTTTTAGTTTTGCAAAACCCGCAATTAATTTATTTTTGGTAAAAAACAGCTGGTTCATTGCAGCGGGTGCCTTAAGCCTTTGCCCATTGTGCCGGCAAGAAGGATCAAGAACGCTTTCGATGTGTCAACCAAGAAAAGCGGATGGCATCCTCAGCCGTCATCTTCAGAAGAATATGGGCCAGTTCCCTGCACAGTGCCAGTTTCTGTGAGGAAAACAACTCAGCAAAACTACGCGGCAGCATTTAACTAGCTTTAGGTAAGGTTCACGGTCGTTGTGTTGCTCCTCTTCCGTGACAAAGGCCACACAGCGTTCGCAGCCACGAAAAAGTAGCATGGTTGACCGTGGCTGCGCAATTATAATTTTCTCCCGAGCCCGGCCCTGATTCATCTGCTACGGAGTTTCCAAAAAGGCCTCCTTCTCATTCAGGACCCGCCAAGGCGGCGAAGGAGCGGAGGCCAGGATTGCAGCTGATCGGGGGCGGCGGGCTTGAAACGCCGGACTCACCCAGCAAGTCCTCTTCGGATATGTTCGGGGAAGCCCCTCCTTTTTTGATGTTTGCAGCTTGGATGCTGTCTGAAATGAGGATGCCACTTGTGTCCTGGGTGGTGATGTACGCAGGATTCATCGCTGCCCTCAGGAGTACTTACTACACGGTCTCTCTTAGTCTTGTACACACAGAGACACACAGAGACCCAGTCTCAGTCTGTTCATCCTAGCGCGTGGTCATCAACAAGCCAAAACTACGTTTCAGTTACTTGGGCTACTACAAAAGTGGCCTGCAACAAGACACCCATGGCAAGTTATTGTAACCTCCCAAGTAAATACTACTTGTCGGTAGCCCCCTGAAGATCGCGCCACGAAAGGGCCGAACAAACCAAACTTCAACAGTTAAGCGGTGCCCCAAAAACGAAGGCTCGCTGGTGCTCAACTTGTTGGGCTGACTTTGAACGACAGCATCAAGTGGCCTCATCGCGTGGCCGAGACGATCGTGAAAGCCCCAGCGCCTCGTACGGTAGCATAGTCATTCTTGCATGTCGGTCGCTAGGGGGTAAACCCGCCAAATGTTGGCAACGAGGGATCAAGCAACGCAGGGTTTCCCCCAGACTTAGAAGTGTTTCCTGTGATTTTGAATTTACTAAGTTATTTCCGCATGAACGTTAAACCAAGTTCAAACCATAAAAGGTAAGTGGTAAGCCTTGCAATGAAGTTGTTCGGTGACCAGCCTTGCCGAGCCAGTTACCATTGTTTCTCGAAATTGCCAGCGACAAATAAACATCGATAAACACACAAATAACGCAAATGACTTTTTGACGTTGTTAAATGCACCCCAGTAATGAGTCTGTCCAGAAAGAAAAAAAAGCCGACCCGAGGCCAGTGTTCTTTTGCAACAGAGCAATGGTTGCAAAGGATGCAAGAGGTACCCAGCCACTGCGGTTCGGCCAAAAGACTAGTAGTCTTATAGGGAGGACTCTTTGTTTCAAAGGGAAACCGCGGAAACCGTTTTGGGGGGTCGTTTGGACCACACGCCGGCGTCCTGGAGCCCCGTTGGCAACAGGCAAGGAACGAAAGAGCTGCAACCGGAAGCATCCCATGAAACGTTCACAGCTCTGGTTGTCATCGTTTCTTGGAAGGGTACCAAACACGAGTGCCACTAAAGAACTGCTATATCAAGTACTGCAATACCTTGTATTATGTTAGCGTTGTTTCTACTTCCACGCCTTCATACGGAAACCTTCACCACATTCGGAAGGCCCAATAAATTGTTCCAGTACGGCAGCCGACAGGACCTGCCCGCCGTTGGCTTATTTCCGACCGCAACCGCCTGATGTTGCTATACATATATATATATATATGTAAATATATATATATATATTATGTTATCCCGATTTGGTTGAGTAGAACATTGTGGTTGTTTTGAACACCACATCCCATCCACTTAATGCGTTTTCGTTTTGTATTTGGAGTCTCTGGAATTCCTTTCAGGCGCTGCTTGATGCTTTCGGCAAAATGTTGCAACCGAGCACGGGGCGAAGGCTCCCAAGCGGTCAGCGTCAGCACCCGAGCGCTTGCCTCGGCTCGCCGCTCGCCGTTGCCAGGCACGGCCACCTGATCTCGTGGCGGCAGACCTGCGCAAGGCGCATCGTTCGGCTCAGCGGCGCTTGCGGCCCGGCCGCATGTCTTCAGCTTGCTTTGTCGGTTTGGACTCGTGGTTTGGAGGTTAGGGGTGGATGCCACATTTATGCAGATCTAGGGGATCAAAACCTACGACTCTCCTGGTGCCCTTTCAGTTGTTTCAAAGGTGGAGTCCAAATACTTCTTCCCACCGGAACACCACCATTTTTGTTTCTGGACAGGACCAGTGAGGTGCCCTCGTGCCAAAATATGGCCCCCTTGTTGGATCCCGGGTGCTACTTCGGCCCGCCTTGTAAAGGGAGTACTAAAACAAGGTCCATAATTTGGACAATTCAAATCAGAACGGGGGAGATTCGTGACACATCCTCTCTGCACGGACAGTGCCGGGCTCAGGCTCATTTTTTTCCAAATCAAGCTTCAAGTGGTGGCACAGCTTCGAGTAGATGTTGTTATTTTCAATTGAGCAACAACAGGCATTCAGGTCATACCTGTACGGGTATGTGAGGGCAAAAATATGATCCCCGAAATGGTAATCATGTTACTTTCGTGCCGAGCAAACCGCATAATAATAATTATTGCTTCAATACGGAAACACGGCCATAACGCGGCCAGCGGACCATGGGTTCACATGACGTATACTAGATGCATTCCTTGAGCCTATTTTCCCACCAAACCATGGGTTGGACTCCCTTGAGGCAACCCGGCAACGTGGTGAGCTGACTTCCCCGTTCAACGCACCGGCCAAAAAGTGCATGGGCAGTGGGCCAACACGGGCTGCCAAGCAGATGGAAAGGACGGAAACCACCCGCGCTCCCACTGGCAAACGGAAATTCGGACATGTTAGCCCCGCGCTGGGGCTGAGGGCAGCACCGGTGGGCCCAGGACGGTGTCTTCCGGAGCCCGGCGCGGCGGATTTTCCTCAACCCTTGCCCACAGACCCAAGAACAAGTGAGCAAAGCCGACCGAGCAGAAGACATGTGTTTCGCGTAAAGCGGCCTCCCCGCAACAGACCCCGCCTGCCGCTTTCCCAGCGCGGGCCCTTTCGCCGCCTCGGAGCTCCGAGGTGCGACCCGGGAGCTCCGGACGCCATGTGCCCAGGTGCTTTGGCGGTTTCCCGTACCTGGCCTGGCATTGAACTACCCTAGGCCTTGCTCAGTCAAAATGGTTTTTGTGGCGGATTTGTAACTATCTGGTTGGTTTGGAGCAGCGCGATCGAACTGCCAAACAAACCAACAGCTAACCTGAGACCCCGAACGCAACCAGTCCTAGTCCGTATTGCTAGGTTGAAACCAGAAGGGAACCGAGAACCCATCCCATCAAATTATCCAATCACGCAGCTCCCCAATTCGGACCGATTGAGTGAGACAGTCCAACGTGAAAATTGCCAAGCCCAAAGGCTCTGGAAAGGTTAGAATGAGGTCGGAGACGTTTGACAGCGCAAACGTGTGTGCCTTTCTTGTGGGTATCCTGTCCAGGGTGGTTTAAAGGGAAATCAAAAGGAGCACACCCTCCTCTACTTTGACATATATCTAAATGGAAACAAAAACAAGCGTCGCTTTTCTTAAGGGGGAACCCCTGTTTTGGGATAAGCCCACTGCCACGATTCAAGCTGCAGAGGGATCCTTCCTGGCACTCTGTTCCGTCAGGCACATCTTGGGACCAGTATCATTCTGGCTCGATAGGCAGGGGATGAAAGAATGACCCCTCTGAACCCTACCTGCAATTTGCTTTGCGCTCATGTCTAAAACTCCTTACACGACTCCAAGAATCAGCAAGATCAGTGTTGCATGAATGAATGCAGCCCATGTGTTTTATCGGCAAACAGTTGCACGTCATGTAGACTAATGTAGACATCTCTGAGCTCAAATCCTCCCCCGCATGTTGAGGCCGTGTGATTGCGATTTTCAAACACGAATTCCTCCCTTGCAGAGAAAGGCATAGAAACGCGCAAACTCGGGCAGGAAATAGAAACGCCGCTCTGAAAAGGACCTTCAAAGACGATCTTACTTCTTTCCTATTTACGGCCCTGGGCCTTTGAATGCGCTCGCACAGGCTACTTCCAAAGGCATTGGGGGGGGGGGGACACCTGACACCCAACTTGCTCAGCATCCATACCAACAGCCTGATGGTAACGAAAAATGTAGCTCCACGCCGTCCGCAGGCGTCTGGTCCTTTTGGGTTCCTCGGTTGCTTCAGGGAGGCTCCCCCCTGGGCGCATGGCTGTCTGCAAAAGATTGCTCCGGCGCCTGGCTGGCCAGGCTTTCGGGGAACCGATGCGAATCTTTCAGGGGAGTTTTGGCCATGGACCACTCAGCGGACCTGACGGAAACTACGTGGTTGAGAGGGGTCGTTTTTTCGTTCCTGAGAGCCAGCAAGTGTCATACAATCCTGGCCCTCCAAAAACCATGCGCCGTCGTTTCACTTGCCCTTTAAAGCACCCAGAAGAGCTCTCCTGGTTTCAGGGCCTCCCATTTCCGCAAACGCTGAACTCAAGCCGAAAGGACATGCAGCATATCGGCCCATTCCATTTTAGAATTCCATAGTGTGTGACCAGCAAACTTACAATGTCAGCTCCTGACCCATCCACCCCGCAGCCAAGGGTACCGCAGCATGAATCAATAACAGCGTGTGTTATTCAATCAGGGCCCATCAAACCCAAACTCCCTCCCTGCCTCTGTGTTTGTATTGCGGCACACGATCCTTCATATTGCAGAGTCGCTGGACTCCCTTCGCTCGAACATCACACCTCCGAATCCCACGCCCGCCCCAAGGTGCCTTGAGCTGGGCTTCCCTCAACAGGAAGTTCAGGTTGTCTGCGAAGAGCTCGTAGGGAGGATCGATAAACACCAGCGCCCTCACACCGGGCGCGCAGCATGCGGGCGCTGAGATTTTCTCCCAAAGTGTCCATGTTGACTCTTCAAATCGTTCTACTTGACACCTTCCTACAGGAGTCGACTACTTGCGTGGCATCTTTGCGGACTCCACGTAGCGGAAACCCCCGCAAAGGAAGCTTTTGGAAGCCACCGGAAGCCACAAGATTGCATTTTGAGCTGTGCATCTTCAAATCAAAAAATGGTTCCAATAGCGTCCCCGGAAGTCCCTCCACATTTCCCTAGTCGTTTGCGGGGGGGTTAAACCCAGCGAAGCAGCGGCCCGGTCTCTGCCTCTCTGGGTAACGTGCAAAAGTTCCGCAAGACACCCTGGCGCCAAAAGAGTTTGCCAGACTGCGGCCGCTTTTGGAACAGTAGGGCTCGACCATTGCTTTGAGGGAGAGCCCTCAAAACAAGGAAAGGGTTGAATCCAATGCCGTTGTTCCGCTGGTCACCTTGGTTCAGCGGCTGATCGCCGAAAACCGGGCCGCAAATCCAACAACCTCCTGTGTTGTCTACAGCGGGATTTCATGTTTTAATCCCCGTTTCTCCGTTTTCTATGGGCGGCCAACGGAGCAAGTTGCTCCGTTCTTCACGGGAAATGGGAAAGGAGGTTCTGGCAGATTTTGGCCAAGGGAATCCCTCATGCCGGCTCGGAACCCCGCCTGGGCCAAAGACCAAACCAAACAGACGGGGCTGCCTAGGGCCTAAGGTTGGGAAAGAATGCGCAAAGGCACTGCCGAAACTGCTCGAAATGGCTTCCGGGCGCCATAAGCCTCGAGTTTGCCAAAAGTTGTACTGCCGCACTTGGGCATCACCTTTTGCCCCTTGCCACATTTCTGAGGTGCCGGATTCCATATGTTTTCCAGCAAGCCGAGCAACTGTAAACAAGCTCCGACTTGATTCGGGGGCCGGGGGCCCGGCCTGTAGCCATCCTGTTCCATCCGCTTCCGTCCATCGCCCGGGCTGGGAATGCGTCGGGATGTCCCTTGTGCTTCAGCGATCTCTCGCTTCGCCTTTCGAATCGAGGCAGCCGGGTGTGCCGCGATGCCCGGCCTCGGTACGCCATCGGGGGAACTCGCTTCCGACCGAGTGGATCGAGTTGAAGGTCCCTGACTTTGACTTGCCAAAGCTGGCTGCGCTGGGGTCTTGGGGCGTTTTTGCAGGGAACTGGGCGTGTCCCAACCAAATGGGCGAGGTATCCCAACGAAAAAGGAGACCAAAGGGCTTTGAAGAAATTCCCGGCTTCGGACTGGTACTCGGCACTTTGTGTCTGTCATGTCTGTCTCTGTCATTGCGGCGCTTCGGCAGCTTTCAAAAAAGCCAGCTTGCCATTGCAGACTTTGATTCCCGCTGGGTTGGCAACACTTCGCAGAAGCCAACGCGGAACGGGAGCCGTCACTCCTTGGCCAGCTGAATTCTGGATCCATATTTAATGCGCTGGCAAAGCAACGCAAAAAGCTTCCGACGTGGAGCATCAGTCAGTTTTGGCGAATTATTCCATGGCCAGCGCCTCTGCACAGCTCGCTTGATCCAGTCAAGCAAATCTAGGCCTCAGCTTCGCCGCCGCCCATCTCCGCCTCAGGCTGGTCGGAAGCGACACTGCCAAAGGTCACCAAGCCGAAGCTCGGGAGCTGGAGCATTTCCAGCGGGCCGTCTGGCTCCAGCCTCACCTCGTACAAGTGCGTGCGCTCCTCGCACTAAGCACCGAGTTGAGGGCAGCTCCGACGGCCAACCCACTTGAATTCGGGACCCGTTTGCCTAAGACCTACACCTCCAAGCGACAACTCAACAAGCTATTGAACCAGCTTCCGCTATGTAAGGGTTGCATCTTGACTAGTTGGCCTGGTGCTGCGCAAGCCGAAACAGGGGGTCTCTTCGTGACAAAGCTGTTTTTTTCTGCCAAGAAATGGTTGGATTTGGGCGGGCCCGAACTTATCGGAGGCAGCAGTTCTGAGTGTAAACAGAGGCTAAACCAATTCCCATGCACTTCGTGGGGTTGGACACTTGGGTCAAACCATACAATACGCCCCGGGCCCCTTAAAACGGAATCTACAAAACTATGCTAAAACAAATCTGTTCCAAACATACTTCACATGGCGCGTCCGCCAACCCGATTTGGGAAACCCATCCTGTCGGCTGGTGACCTTGGTCAACTTCTGCTGCTTGCCGCCCAAGACCGTGTTGCCCATCCCGAGCTGGTCTGCGCGCTCCGCCTCGCAAGCTCCGCCTTGCAAGATCAGCGGCCATAAGGAGTTTAAGCATGAACCAACATGGTCAAGGACTTGTCTTCTCGTCCTTTGCCAGGACTCTTTCGGGCCCGAGATAGTCGGGGGCGATGAGTACGGGGCTCATTTTGTGTTTGGGTTGCTGCTTGACCGCCATCTTCCTTCTTGCCTCCTGCTTAACTTGCCAAACCAGGGAATGGAAACTGCCCAGGGTTTTGTGCTGCTCAAACGAAAAGTAATTTAACGCGCAAAGCGGTAGGAGATGGATTGGCTGAAGGCACAACATGGCACAACCAGGGCTCCTCTTCAAGGGGCAGGCATGACTTTCGGTGTGTATATAGAGCAAAGGTGGTTAGAAGCAACTTTGAATGGATGTTTTCGTACTCCGAGCGAAAAACGGAGTCCATATTAGCTGAACCAGGTTGCAAGCATAGATGAAGTCGAAACATCAGATCGCAAACCCCCAATCAGACGTGCGCCTTCAGACGCCAACGAAGGTACTGCCACGCGGTGCGACTTGGACACGGTAGAGAGCCCTTGGCGCGTAGTGAGCTCCACCAAGTTGTAAGCCTGCTTCTTGGCGCATGCAAGTGCATGCCCAGCACGGAGGCTTTGGTCTGGTCCAGCAGCCGCACGCGGTCCCCGATCTTCAAGTTCTCCACTCGCAGCAAGTGGCTGTCCACGCCGTGCACGGCCGTGTTCGGCAGAAAGCACTTGGCCGAGCGGCTGCTGGTGTCCGAGTACATGTCGGACTGATCACCGACAAGACTGAATGAGTCCACCGCATCTTCAGAAGCCGGGGTTGCACCCGAGCAGTGCTCAAGTGACTGCGCGAACCCTTTGACGATTGCGCTGGACAGATTTCAATGAGTTTCAATGTGACACAATGTTTGGAAACCAACAGGCCTGGACCTTCCTCAGCTTGAGGATCGTTGGAGTCGGAGCGGCTGAAGGCCTTGGCAAAATCAGTTGAAACATGACAGCCTCCTCGAAAACTAGGTGCCCCTGGAATAGGTGCGCCAGCAAAGACATTCCAATTCAACAGACACCCTAAAGCGCTTCAGGATTGATGGCACTTTCAGACACCCCAAGCTCACAGCCAACGCTCCCATCAAAACATCTCAAAACGGCTCATTGACGACCACAGTGACCATATCTGCTTTCTTAAAACACAATCTCCAGCTGGGGTGCCAAAAAGGCGTCGCACTGCGCCTTCAGCTGCAAGTCGCACTGCGTCATCTCTGACTTCTGCGCCTTCTGGGTCAGCAAAGCAATCCTCTGCTGCAGAGTTTCATTCTCTTCCTGTAAATCTTCGACTATCTTCATCTCATTTGCCTTCTGCAGCTTCTCCGTCTCAAGCTCCGCCGTGAGCTGCTCGACTCGGGTTTGAATTTCCGCGTGGGCAGGCGGCGGGCTCCGCAATGTTCCAACAGGCCCAGGCGTGGGAAGCAAGCAGACATCGCAGCAGTCCACATGTGCTGAAGGCGCGTGCAGCTCCAACTGCGGCTCGGGGGTTTCGAAGGTCGCCTGCAGCACCAGCCTCTCCCCCGCCTCCGCCCACAGCTTCCAGCGCCCCGCGGCCTTCTCCCATCGCCGCGGGAGCTCGTGCTGCTCGGAAGCTGCTCGTGCAGCTCCAGGCCTTCGGCGCCGCTCGCGGGCCATGGCGCCGTGGAGCGGAAGCCGTCCCGGTCCACGGACGCCTGCCACGCGAGCTCCGAGGGGGCCATGGCTTGGGACGTGTGAAAAGAGGCAGGGCTTCTGAGACTTAGACTTTTCGAGCCGAAATCTGCTCAAAACGCACTCCGAATACAAACACGACAGCCTCCAAGTGCCATCAACACTGCGCCAGCTTGCACTTGAAATCATCGAAATCCAAAGTGCAGAAGACTTTGCCAGCTGACACCCTGTGTCCCTCAGCACGCTTGTGCACCAGGGCCCAAACTGTGTGCCCTGTTTGCTTGCAGCCGGAAGCCTCGAGGCCGGGTGGAGGGGTCCTACAAAACTGACTGCGGGGCTTCTGGCTCATGAAGAACTTGTGTTTGCTTCGTTTGACATGGCCGTAGCTCTGACCTTCTCACGATACGCGTCTATACCAAACCAAAAGAAAGTCTGATAGCTTTGGCTCTTGGGTGGGCAGATTTATGACCTCAAAAAAGGGATCTTGTGCTACCGTGAAATTGGTCAATACATGGTGTTGAAATGATTCCTTTGGTCTATCAAACCAGTTGCTCCTTGGAGTTCCTTTCTTTCTCCTTCCTTGGAGACTGTGTTTTGTGAATGTGAAACTGAGGCACACATATTTTGAGAGACACGAACCGTCTCGACGACTAGGATCCGACTTTTTTTTAAGCAACACCAAACAATCCGGTCACCAATAAATAATTAAACCTGGGTAGTGGAACTACACTAAAGGGCGATGTCCACGCCAGATCCGGCACTGAACGGGGCTTGTAACAGAAACCAGCCTCTGCGGTGTCCAACCATTCTTTCCCGGGAGCAGATGCTTTCCAGCAACCACGAAACCGCTAGACACGCACACGCACACACACGCACACACATATTTGTGTGCAAAGAATCTGGAAAGAATGTGTGCATGTGGCTGGAATTTTGTTTGGTTCGAAAAGAAAGAATGAGGGACGTTTCCCCTGATGAATCGTTCCAGAAAACCACCAAAGCCGTCCCAACAAAGGCCAGTGTCTTTCTCAAAAGAGCAATGGTCGCAAAGAATGCAAGAGGTATCCAGCCATGGCGGTTCGGCCAAACAAATCTAGCAGTCTTGTAGTTATAGGGAGGGCTCTTTGTTTCAAAGGGAAACCGTGGAAACCACTTTGGGGGTCGTTTTGCCTACACAAAACCCGCCACTTGCGAGGAAAACCATCGGCGGCCCAGGCCCGAGCCGGGCGTTCACACCGGTCTGCGTCCTGGAGCCCTGATCCCGTGGCGGACCTGCGCAAGGCGCATGGTTCCGCTCAACGAAAGCGGCGGCCTTTCCGTTGCAAAGCCTCTGGCTGCACGTCTTCAGCTTCGGTTTGGACTGATGGCTTGGAGGGCTGGATTCCCATTTACCCGCGAGATCTAGAGGTTCAAAACCTCCAACTAAGGGTCACCTGACGCTTGTCAAGACTTGGAACACCCGTGCCGCTCCAAATTTTTCAAAAGTGGATTCCACGTTTCTTCGCGCCGGAACACCACCAATTTCCTCTGAAGGCTAAATATGGCCCCCTTGTTGGACTCGGGTGCAACCTCGGCACGGACCGCGCAGGCTCAGGCGACCAGTTGCGCCGTTCTTTTCCAAATCAAGCTTCAAGTCATTGCAGCGTCTAGATATTCGAAATGGTGGTTCATATTCCTTTCCCTTTCAACCACACCAACAGGTACCGAGCCTCGGAAAAACATAAAAACCGCTCACCCACAGAATAACAATTGCTTCAACACGGAAACACGCCCATACATGGCCGCCAGACCATGGGCTCACATGACGTTTGGGCCGTTCAACGCGCCAGCAAAAACGTGCATGGGCTGTGGGCCAAACATCGAAACACGGGGCAGCCCCAACACGGGCTGCCAAGCAGATGGCATGGACGGAAAACCCCCCGCTCCGACTGGCAGACGGACATTCGGAAATTGCCCGCCTTGCGGGGGACTGGGGGCGGCACCGGCAGCCCCCGGACGGTGCCAGCACCGGCCCCGTGAAACGGAGGTCGACGCGGTTTTTCGGAGCTCGCAGACCCAAGCGAGAAGAGCCGAGCGACCAGAGTCCTCAGAGACATGTCGTTCGCGTGAAGCGGGCGGACCCCGCGCCGGACCCGGCGACGGACCCCGCCTGTCGCCGCTTTCCCAGCGCGGCCGTGCCGCCATTGCCTCGGAGCTCCGAGGTGAGATCTGGGAGCTCTTGAGGCCATGTGCCCAGGTGTTTTTTCCGGGTTGTTTCCCTTACCAAGCTGATACCATGCCATCAAAAAGAGCCACACCCGTTTGGGAACATCGTATGGACCAAAAGGAGGTCACCAAGAAGGGCACGTAGGGGTCTGACTTTGAGCAGTTGGGCCTTTTGGACGTCAAAGACTCGTAGGCTGTGCCCAGATCGAAACGGGAAACGTGCTGAGTGCTTGGGTCAGTGGACCATTCCAAAGAGTAATGGATGCTTTCGTTGGCAAACTGACACACGGGAATGCAGAAGACCTGCCTTCCGCTTGCGAGCTCAGTTGGGGATCAGGCTCAGGCAAAACTGTTTTTGTGGCGGATTTGTAGGGCTGGCTGAGGCATTGCTTATCAGGTCGATTCAGAGCAGCGTGATTGAACTGCCAAACAAGCCATGACAGCCACTCCGAAGCATTGCCCGCAACCAGTCCTACTCCATATTGTTGGGTGTGGCCCACACGGTGTGGCTTTGCTTTGTGGAACGGGCCCCGTTTTGGTTGGTGTTCTAGGTTGAAACCAAAAGGAAACCGAGAACCCGTTGTAAGGGTTCTCCGGGTTCTCCTTTAAGGCAAACCCATCCACCTGAGAAGTTCTGCCTTGAACCAGCCCAACGCAACTTCGCCAGCGCCAAACCTGCCATGTCCCATCAAATCATCCAACTAGACAGCTTGAGTGGAACCGATGGAAAGGAACAAAAATCCAAGCCCAGAGGCTCTGGAAAGGTTAGAATGAGGTCGGAGACGTTTGACGGCACAAACGTGTGTGCTTTTGTTACGGGTGCCTTGTCCAGGGTGGTTTGAAGGGAAATCAAAAGGAGCACACCCTCCCCGATTTCGACACATATCTAAATGGAAACAAAAATGCGCGTCTCTTTTCTTAAGGGGAACCCCTGTTTTGGGATAACCCCACTGCCACAATTCACGCTGCAGAGGCATCCTTCCTGGCATTCTGTTCTGTCAGGGACATCTTGGGACCAGTATCCATGCTGGCTCAAGGCAGGGGATGAAAGAATGACCCCTCTGAACCCTACCTGCGGTTTCCTGAATGGACCCTCAAGCTCATGTCTAAAACTCCTTAGACAACTCCCTACTCAGAACCAGCAAGATCAGTGTTGGACAAATGAATGCAGCCCATGCGTTTTATCGGCAAACAGTTTCACGTCGTTTAGGCATCTCTGAGCTCAACGCCTCCCCCGACTGTTGAGGCCTGGTGATTGCGATTCTGAAACACGAGTTCCTCCCTTGCAGAGCAAAAGCATAGAAAAGCGCAAACTCAGGAAATAGAAAAGCCACTCTGAGAAGGACCTTCGAGGCATCGATCTTTCCTCTTTACGGCCCTTGGGCCTTTGAATCCGCTCGCACAGTTGGCTACTTCCCAAAGACCCGAAGGCATCTGGGGAAAGGACACCTGACTCCCAACTTCAGCATAGCAACAGCTCGGCGCTAACAACAAAAACTCTAGCCCGCATAAGGCGCAAACTCGACCCCACTCCCTGCGCCCTAATTACGCAGCCGTCCTTTTGGTTTCCCCAGTGGTTGCTTCAGGGAGGCCACACGCGTACTGGGCACATGGCCGTCTGCAAAAAAAGCTCTGGCGCCTTGCTGGGCGGAGAAAGTTGAACGTCGAATGTTTTCCTGGCGCCCGGAAAACAGATAGGAGAATCGGGGAACCTGGTTCGGAGGGGTCGTTCCCTCGTTCAAGTGTCATAAAAACCTGGCCCTCCAAAAAACCATGCGCCGTCCTTTCACTTGCCCTGTAAAGCACCCATCAGAAGGGTGCTCCTGGTTTCAAGGCCTCCTTTTCCGCAAATGCTGGACTCAAGCCGAATGGATATGCAGCATATCGGCCCATTCCATTTTAGGGTTCCATAGTGTGGGACCGGCAAACTTACAATGTCAGCTCCTGATTCATCCACCCCGCAGCCCAGGGTACCCCAGCATGAATCAATAACAGCATGTGTTATTCAATCAGGGCCCATCAAACCCAAACTCCCTCGGCACACGATCCCTCATACTGCGGAGCACTCGCTTAGCTCCCTTCGCTCGAGCATCACACCTCCGAATCCCACGCCCGCCCCAAGGTGCCTTGAGCTGGGCTTCCCTCAACAGGAAGTTCCGGTTGTCTGCGAAGAGCTCGTTGGGAGGATCGAGAAACACCGGCGCCCTCACACCGGGCACGAAGCAGCGTCAAATCGTTCTACTTGACACCTTCCTAACACTTGCATGGCATCTTTGGGGACTCCGACCCACGTTGAGGAAGCCCCCAGAAAGGAAGCTTTTGGAAGCCACCAGAGCTGCAGCAAGAAGCCACAAGCTTGCATTTTCACCTCCGAAATGCGTAGAATCCTATGCCTCAGCTCTTGCCCAACCAAAATACAGCGTATGTCTGAGTCTTGTCGTGTGCATCTTCAAATCTATAAATGGTCCCAATTGAGATCCCAGAAATCTCTCTAAAATGGGATGGCCCCTTCCCTTTTAGCGGATCGGAACCCCGCGATATGTTCCGAGCCAAAGACCAAGGCTGGAAAAAAACAAACTGGGGTGCCTACGGTTGGGAAACTGCTCGAAATGGCTTCCGGCCGCCATAAGCCCAGAGCTTCCCCAAAGTTATAAAGGCACACTTGGGCATCACCTTTTGCCCGCAGCCACAGTTATTGACGTGCCGGATTCCATGTCGCGAATCGGAATAGTGATGATGCTTCAAAATTTGTCAAAAAATCCATGAAGCTCCATACCCAGGAAAGATGGAGAAGAGATGTTTCACAGCACGCGCGCGCGCGGTCCGCGCTTGGTCCACGTGCCGGCAGCACGTCGTCCCGTCAGGGCGAATTCCTGGACCCATGGTGGACACCTGGGTGTCATGGGCAGTGCCAGCTGCTCAACGCCAAAGGCAGTGCTTATTGGTCCTGTGAGCAACACCTTCACAATCCTTCACCTCTGAAACTGTTGACTTTTGTACAGATTGTGCTGAGTAGATTAGATTAGTTTTATCTGATGTGCGTGTCTCACTTGCTCTGTCAGGGTCTATGGATTTCCGCGGCACCCCCGGGCTGCGGGCGCAAAAGACAGACCGCCTCTGGTCTGAGTTGTTGGCACCTGTCCGCTGCTTTGCTCGGACTCTGGTCCACTGGTAGAAACTGAGGAAACGCCCAAAAACGCACGCTTTGCCGGGTCTGGTCACAGAAACGGCAGACCAAAAACGGAGAAAGAAAAAAGGGACCGAAGGCCGTAAGAAACGGAGCCTTTCAGAAATGGAAGGCTGTCACTGGCGCCTCCGCAGTGCATGGTCCTCGAGTCGTAAAGGACCAGGTCCCCTTGTCTCAGCGTCATCTTCCGGTGAGGCACGCCGAAGGCCTCGTTTCCAAAAGGCCACCGTTCTAACTGTACCCACCTCTCCAGGCTCTCCAGAGGGATCCATGTCAGCGACGTGGCCCGAGGGACAAACTGATTGACCATTTCCGGCAAAGTGACAAGGAAAGTGCCACCCGCAAAGTCCCGCACAAGATCTCATGCCACCCTTTACGCCATGTAGGTGGTGTAGGCGAGGGGTGCTCTAAAGAGCCATACAGGGAAATTTGGCGCCGGGAAATATCAAAATGTGCTCTTGGCTTTGAGGGTTCGGAGCAAACCTACAACATTGGCTCAAAAGAAGAAATCTTGGTGTCTCAAAAATCAGGAAAATAACAAAATGAGCGGCTCGTGGCGGTTCATTGGCCATGGGGATCAAAGAGCTACCCTTTGTTGCTGGCTGATCTTAAGCGGTAAAGCCCTTTCCAAAGCGGCAAAAAAGGTTATCTCGGGGTGTCGGGATATCCATCCATATCCATCCCTTGTGCTCCCGTCGATTCGCCCAGCTTCGCCTTGCGTGGAATCGAGGCAGCAGCCCGGTAGGCCGCAATGCAGCCCGGCCTCGGCGGCATCGACACGCCAGGCGGAACTCGCTTCCGACCGAGTCGATCGAGTCGAAGGTCCCTGACTTTGACTTGCCACAGCTGGCGCTGGGGTCTTGAGCGGTTCCAGGGAACTGGGCGTGTCCCAACCAAAGGGTATCCCAACGAAACGGAGACCAACGGGCTCTGAAGAAATTCCCGGCTTCGGACTCGCGCTCGGCACACTTTGTGTCTGTCTCTGTCTTTGCAGCGCTTCGGCAGCTTTCAAAAAAAGGCCAGCTTGCCATTGCAGACTTTGATTCCCGCTGGGTTGGCAACACTTCGCAGAAGCCAACGCGTAACGGGAGCCGTCACTCCTTGGCCAACTGAATTAAGGATCCATATTTCGCTGGCAAAGCAAAACAAGAAGCTTCCGACGTGAAGCATCACTGCATCACTCATTTTGGACGAGTTATTCCATGGCCAGCGCCTCTGCACAGCTCGTTTGATCCAAAGCAAACCTAGGCCTCAGCTTCGCCGCCGTCCATCTCTGCGTCAGGCTGGTCGGAAGCGACGCTGCCAAAGGTCACCAAGCCGAAGCTCGGGAGCTGGAGCATTTCCAGCGGGCCGTCTGGCTCCAACCTCACCTCGTACAAGTGCGTGCGCTCCTCAGACTCCAAAGCACCGAGTTGAGGGCAGCTCCGACGGCCAACCCGCTCGAAGTCAGGACCCCGTTTGCCTAGACCTACACCTCCAAGCGACAACTTAACAAGCAGTTGAACCAGCTTCCATTTGCAAACGTTGCATCCTGGCTAGTTGGTTTGGGGGGCCCTTCAAAACTACGTTTGTTTGCCAAGAAATGGTTGGATTTGGTCGAGACACCGTCGTGTCGGCAAGCCTTGTTTTGGCCCGAATGGCAGCAGTTCTGAGTGTAGACAGAGGATAAACCAACTCCCGTGCTCTTCGCTGTGGTCGGACAACTGGGGTCAAAACATACCATGCGCCCCTTCAAACTGAAGCCTACAAAACTATTCAACTGGCGTGTGAGCCAACCCGACTCGGGAAGCCCATCCTGTCGGCTGGTGACCTTGGTCAACTTCTGCTGCTTGCCACCCACAAAGACCGTGTTGCCCACCCCGAGCTGGTCTGCGCGCTCCGCCTCGCAAGCTTCGCCTCGCAAGATCAGCGGCCATAAGGATTTTAAGCATGAACCAACATGGTCAAGGACTTGTCTTCTCATCGTTTGCCAGAACGGCTTTCCTGGCGGCTTGGTGTTCATGCGGCTCATTTTGTTTTGGTCGCTGCTTGACCTCCATCTTCCAGCTTAGCTTGCCAAGCCAGGGAATGGAAACTGGCCAGCTGCTCAAGTAAGAAGATACTTCACGCACAAAGCAGGAGGGGATGGATTGGTTGAAGGCACGATCAGGGCTCCTTTCACGGAGCAAGCATGACTTTCAGTGTGTGTAGAGCATTGGAGCAACTTGAAACGGATGTTTTCGTACTCGGAGCGTAAAACAGAGTCCATATTGGCTGAACCAGGTTGCAAGAATAGATGAAGTCGAAACATCAGATCGCAAACCCCCAATCAGATGTGCGCCTTCAGACGCCAACGAAGGTACTGCCACGCGGTGCGACTTGGACACGGTAGAGAGCCCTTGGCGCGTAGTGAGCTCCACCAAGTTGTAAGGCTTCTTCTTGGCGCGGTGCAAGTGCATGCCCACCACGGAGGCTTCGGTCTGGTCCAGCAGCCGCACGCGGTCCCCGATCTTCAACTTCTCCACTCGCAGCAAGTGGCCATCGACGCCGTGCAAAGCCGTGTTCGGCAAAAAGCACTTGGCCGAGCGGCTGCTGGTATCCGAGTACATGTCTGACTGATCACCGACAAGAGTGAACGAGTCCACAGCATCTTCCGAAACCGGGGTTGCACCTGAGCCGTGCTCAAGTGACTGCGCGAACCCTTTGACGCTTGCTCCGGACAGATTTCAATGAGTGTCAATATGACAGAATGTTTGGAAACCAACAGGCCTGGACCTTCCTCAGCTTGAGGATCGTTGGAGTCGGAGCGGCTGAAGGCCTCAGCAAAATCAGTTGAAACATGACAGTCTCCTCGAAAACTAGGTGCCCCTGGAATAGGTGCGCCAGTAAAGACATTCCAATTCAACAGACACCCTAAAGCGCTTCAGGATTGATGGCACTTTCAGAACCCCAAGCTCACAGCCAACGATCCCATCAAAACATGTCATTTTGAGAGAAAACGCGGCTCATTGACGACCACAGTAACCATATTTGTTTTCTTAAAACACGATCTCCAGCTGGGGTGCCAAGAAGGCATCGCACTGCTCCTTCAGCTGCAAGATGCACTGCGTCATCTCTGACTTCTGCGCCTTCTGGGTCAGCAAAGCAATCCTCTGCTGCAGAGTCTCATTCTTCTGCTGCAAATCCTCGGCTTTCTTCATCTCCTCTGCCTTCTCCTGCGCCAGCTCGGCCAGCTGCTTCTGCAAGTTCTCCGTGATCTCCACCTGCTGCTTCTCCGTCTCAAGCTGCTCCATCAGCGAATCAATCCTCTGGTGCAATGCCTTGTTCTCATGCTGAGCGGACTCGACTTTCTGTGTTTCCTCTTCCTTCTTCTGCGTCAGCAGCTCATAGCGGCGCTTGGACTCGTCCAGCTGCTGCTGCAATTTCTGCTTCTCCTGCTGGATCCCCGCATTCTGCAGCTTCTCCGTCTCAAGCTCTGCCGTGAGCTGGTCGATTCGGGCTTGGAGTTGCGCGTGGGCGGGCGGCGGGCTCTGCAGGGTTCCAACAAGCAAAGGCGGGGGAAGCAAGCAGAAATCGAAGCAGTCCACATTTTCTGAACCCGTGTACAACTCCAACTGCGGCTCTGGGGTGTCGAAGGTCGCCTCCAGCACCAGCCTCTCCCCGCCCGCCTCCGCCCAGAGCTTCCACCGCCCCGCGGCCTTCTCCCAGCGCAGCCGCACCGAGGCGCAGCCGGTCGGGAGGACGTGCCACTGCTCTCGGCCGCCCGGAAGCTGCTCGCCGACCCGGCGGCGGCCGTCCGCGTTGAAGAAGTCGACGCGCGCCACGGGCCTCGGCGCCGCCCCAGGCCGCAGCTCGCGGAGCCAAGCCCAGCCGGGCGCCCGGGGGCGCAGCTCCAGGATCGCGGCGCCGCTCGCGGGCCACGGCGCCGTGGAGCGCCAGCCGTCGCCGTCCTCCGCCAGCCACACGAGCTCCGAGGGGGCCATGGCTTGGGACGGTGTGAGAGGCGAAAGGCGGAAACTTCTGAGACTTTTGAAGCCGAAATCTGGTAAAGCCGAATCCAAAGTCAGGTTGCACTTGACTTCTGAGACTGGTCATGCTGAAATCTGCTCACAAGCCAACCGCAAAGGGTGACATTGATCTGCAAAAGGCCAAACATTCAGAAACAAAACAGCTTCCGAGCACCAGGTGTTTGCCAGAGACTGACACCCTGTGTCCCTCAGCTCAGCGCTTGTGCGCCAGAGGCCCCGGCCCAAACTGCGCACCCTGCGTGCCTGCAACTGGAAGCCTTGAGGCCGGGTGGAGGGTCCTCCGAAAATGACCGCGGGGCTTCTGGCTCATGAAGAATTTGTGTTTGCTTCGTTTGACATGGCCGTAGCTCTGACCTTCTCACGATACGCGTCTATACCAAACCAAAAGAAAGTCTGATACACACAACATGGCATCCTACACACTGAGCTTTGGCTCTTGGGTGGGCAGATTCATGACCTCAAAAAGGAATCACTGGTCAAAGGGATCCTATGCTACCATGTTTTTGGTCAAAAACCAGCCTCTGGAGTCTCCAACCAAGCAAACACAAAACCGATAAACACACACACATATTTGTGTGCAAAGAATCTGGAAAGAATGAGTGTGGCTGGAGTTATGTTTCGTTCGAAAAACTGTCCCCTAATTAATGAGTCTGTCCAGAGAAGAAAAGAACAGCCGACCCGAGGCCAGAGTTCTTTTGCACCAGAGCAATGGTTGCAAAGGATGCAGGAGGTACCCAGCCACTGCGGTTCGGCCAAACACATCCAGTAATCTTATTAGGGAAGGCTCTTTGTTTCAAAGGGAAACCGCGGAAACCGTTTTGGGGGGTCGTTTGGACCACAAAAACCCGCAACGTACGAGAAACAACCGCCGCCGGCGTCCTGGAGCCCCGTTGGCAACAGGCAAGGCGCGAAAGAGCTGCAACCGGAAGCATCCCATGAAACGTTCACAGCTCTGGTTGTCATCGTTTCTTGGAAGGGTACCAAACACGAGTGCCACTAAAGAACTGCTATATCAAGTACTGCAATACCTTGTATTATGTTGGCGTTATTTTTACTTCCAGGCCTTCATAAGGAAACCTTCACCACATTCGGAAGGCCCAATAAATTGTTCCAGCCGACAGGACCTGCCCGCCGTTGGCTTATTTCCGGCCGCAACCGCCTGATGTTGCTATATATATATATATGTATGTATATATATATATATATTATAAATATATAATTATGTTATCCCCATTTGGTTGAGTAGAACATCGTGGCTGCTTGGAACACCACATTTGGAGAACAAATCCCATCCACTTAATGCGTTGCCGTTTTGTATTTGATGTCTCTGGATTTCCTTTCAGGCGCTGCTTGATGCTTTCGGCAAAATGTTGCAACCGAGCACGGGGCGAAGGCTCCCAAGCGGTCAGCGTCAGCACCCGAGCGCTTGCCTCGGCTCGCCGCTCGCCGTTGCCAGGCACGGCCACCTGATCTCGTGGCGGCAGACCTGCGCAAGGCGCATCGTTCGGCTCAGCGGCGCTTGCGGCCCGGCCGCATGTCTTCAGCTTGCTTTGTCGGTTTGGACTCGTGGTTTGGAGGTTAGGGGTGGATGCCACATTTATGCAGATCTAGGGGATCAAAACCTACGACTCTCCTGGTGCCCTTTCAGTTGTTTCAAAGGTGGAGTCCAAATACTTCTTCCCACCGGAACACCACCATTTTTGTTTCTGGACAGGACCAGTGAGGTGCCCTCGTGCCAAAATATGGCCCCCTTGTTGGATCCCGGGTGCTACTTCGGCCCGCCTTGTAAAGGGAGTACTAAAACAAGATTTGGACAATTCAAATCAGAACGGGGGAGATTCGCGACACATCCTCTCTGCACGGACCGTGCCGGGCTCAGGCTCATTCTTTTCCAAATCAAGCTTCAAGTGGTGGCACAGCTTCTTCGAGTAGATGTTGTTATTTTCAATTGAGCAACAACAGGCATTCAGGTCATACCTGTACGGGTATGTGGGCAAAAATATGATCCCCAAAGCGGTAATCATGTTGCTTTCGTGCCGAGCAACAAACCGCAGAATCATTGTTGCTTCAATACGGAAACACGGCCATAACGCGGCCAGCGGACCATGGGTTCACATGACGTATACTAGATGCATTCCTTGAGCCTATTTTCCCACCAAACATGGGTTGGACTCCCTTGAGGCAACCCGGCAACGTGGTGAGCCGACTTCCCCGTTCAACGCACCGGCCAAAAAGTGCATGGGCAGTGGGCCAAACATCACAACGTAGGGCAACCCCAACACGGGCTGCCCACAAGCAGATGGAAAGGACGGAAACCCCCCGCGCTCCGACTGGCAGACGGAAATTCGGAAATGTTAGCCCCGCGCGGGGGCTGGGGGCAGCACCGGCGGGCCCCAGACGGTGTCTTCCGGAGCCGGCTGTTCCCCCCGGCAAAACGGAGGTCGAAGCGGCGGGTTTTCGGTTTGGAAAACTGCATGGGTCTTCAACCCTTGCCCGGCCACAGACCCAAGAACAATTGAGCAAAGCCGACCCACCAGAAGACATGTGTTTCGCGTAAAGCGGCCTCCCCGCAACAGACCCCGCCTGTAGCCGCTTTCCCAGCGCGGGCCCTTTCGCCGCCGCCACTGCCTCGGAGATCCGAGGTGAGACCCGAGGTGGTTTGGCGGTTTCCCATACCTGGCCTGGCATTGAACTACCCTAGGCCTGGCTCAGTCAAAACGGTTTTTGTGGCGGATTTGTAGGGCTGGCTGAGGCAGGAACTATCTGGTTGGTTTGGAGCAGCGCGATCGAACTGCCAAACAAACCAACAGCTAACCTGAGACCCCGAAGCATAGCCCGCAACCAGTCCTAGTCCGTATTGCTAGGTTGAAACCAGAAGGGAACCGAGAACCCATTATAAGGGTTCTCCGAGTTCTCCTTTCAGGCAAACCCATCCACCTGAGAAGTTCTACCTTGAACCAGCCCAACGCAACTTTGCCAGCGCCAAATCTACCATCCCATCAAATCATCCAATCACGCAGCTCCCCAATTCGGACCGATTGAGTGAAACCGATGAACATGAAAACCTACTGACAGTCCAAACGTGAAAATTGCCAAGCCCAAAGGCTCTGGAAAGGTTAGAATGAGGTCAGAGACGTTTGACAGCGCAAACGTGTGTGCCTTTCTTGTGGGTATCCTGTCCAGGGTGGTTTAAAGGGAAATCAAAAGGAGCACACCCTCCCCTACTTTGACATATATCTAAATGGAAACAAAAACAAGCGTCGCTTTTCTTAAGGGGGAACCCCTGTTTTGGGATAAGCCCACTGCCACGATTCAAGCTGCAGAGGGATCCTTCCTGGCACTCTGTTCCGTCAGGCACATCTTGGGACCAATATCAGTCTGGCTCGATAGGCAGGGGATGAAAGAATGACCCCTCTGAACCCTACCTGCAATTTGCTTTGCGCTCATGTCTAAAACTCCTTACACGACTCCAAGAATCAGCAAGATCAGAGTTGCATGAATGAATGCAGCCCATGTGTTTGATCGGCAAACAGTTGCACGTCATGTAGACATCTCTGAGCTCAAATCCTCCCCCGCATGTTGAGGCCGTGTGATTGCGATTCTCAAAGACGAATTCCTCCCTTGCAAGAAAAAGGCATAGAAACGCGCAAACTCGGGCAGGAAATAGAAACGCCGCTCTGAAAAGGACCTTCAAAAACGATCTTACTTCTTTCCTATTTACGGCCCTGGGCCTTTGAACGCGCTCGCACAGGCTACTTCCCAAAAGACCCAAAGACATCGGCGGGGGGGGACACCTGACACCCAACTTGCTCAGCATCCATACCAACAGCCTGATGGTAACGAAAAATGTAGCTCCACACCGTCCACAGGCGTCTGGTCTTTTGGGTTCCTCGGTTGCTTCAGGGAGGCCCCCCCCCTGGGCGCATGGCCGTCCACTGCAACAACTCCGGCGCCTGGCTGGCCAGGCGGGAGAAAACTAGAGGACGATTGGCCCGAAAGCATTTTTCAACAGGCGCTCATCCAGCCGCGGAGGCACCTTTTTACATCGCTGCGGCGAGCGTGTCTGCGCGCGGCGATGCTCAGTGTGTATGGTCACATGAGAGCTCCATCTCATCATCCTACTTTCCTCTCGAACTGCGCCGCGCGATTTCTCACGAAAGTGGTCTGCGCAGCTGCATTGTTCCAGGCTGCTGCGCGCAAGTTGCTCTCTGCAAGCTGCTGCACGCTGCTTTGCTGCAAGCTTGCTCTGCGCTGTGCTCTGTGCAAGTTGCTCTGCGCAAGTGCTCTGCGCCAGTTGCTCCGCGCAAGCTTTGCGCATGTGCTCTGTGCAAGTTGGTCTGCAAGTTGCTCTGCGCCAGTTGCTCCGTGCAAGCGCTTTGCGCATGTGCTCTGTGCAAGTTGTCTGTTGCAAGTTGCTTGCTGCGCAAGTGCTTTGCTGCAAGTTGCTCTGTGCAAGTTGCTCTGCGCAAGTTGCTCTGCGCAAGTGACTCTGCGCAAGTTGCTCTGCGCAAGTGCTGCCGGAGCTGTGGGAATGTACTTCGCATACTATTTTGTACTTAAAAGTTGCGATTTTCCAGCCGGAGCTGCGGGGGTGTGCTCCGCGTACTACGTTTGTACTTAAAAGTTGCGCGGGAGCACGCTCCGCATACTACGTCTGTACTTAAAAGTTGCGATTTTCCAGCCGGAGCTGCAGGAGTACGGTCCGCGTACTACGTTGCGATTTTCAAGCCGGAGCTGCGGGGGTGTGCTCCGCGTAGTACGTCTGTACTTAAAAGTTGCAACAACTCGGGGGGGGTGGCCAAGCGGGAGAAAAAGAAAGAAAGTTGTGGAACATCAAAGTGGCTTTCGGGGAACCGATGGGAATCTTTCAGGGGGGTTTTGGCCATGAACCACTCAGCGGACCTGACGGAAACTACGTGGTTGAGAGAGGTCGTTTTGTGTTCCTGAGAGCCAGCAAGTGTCATACAATCCTGGCCCTCCAAAAACCATGCGCCGTCGTTTCACTTGCCCTTTAAAGCACCCAGAAGGGCGCTCCTGGTTTCAGGGCCTCCCATTTTCGCAAACGCTGAACTCAAGCCGAAAGGACATGCAGCATATCGGCCCATTCCATTTTGGAATTCCATAGTGTGTGACCAGCAAACTTACAATGTCAGCTCCTGTCCCATCCACCCCGCAGCCAAGGGTACCGCAGCATGAATCAATAACAGCGTGTGTGATTCAATCAGGGCCCATCAAGCCCAAACTCCCTCCCTGCCTCTGTGTTTGTATTGCGGCACACGATCCCTCATATTGCAGAGCACTCGCTGGACTCCCTTCGCTCGACCATCACACCTCCGAATCCCACGCCCGCTTCAAGGTGCCTTGAGCTGGGCTTCCCTCAACAGGAAGTTCAGGTTGTCTGCGAAGAGCTCGTAGGGAGGATCGATAAACACCAGCGCCCTCACACCGGGCGCGCAGCATGCGGGCGCTGAGATTTTCTCCCAAAGTGTCCATGTCGACTCTTCAAATCGTTCTACTTGACGCCTTCCTACAGGAGTCGAATACTTGCATGGCATCTTTGCAGACTCCACGTGGCGGAAACCCCCGCAAAGGAAGCTTTTGGAAGCCACCAGAAGCCACAAGATTGCATTTTGAGCTGTGCATCTTCAAATCTATAAATGGTTCCAATAGCGTCCCCGGAAGTCCCTCCACATTTCCCTAGTTGTTTGCGGGGGTTTAAACCCAGCGAAGCAGCGGCCCGGTCTCTGCCTCTCTGGGTAACGTGCAAAAGTTGCGCAAGACACCCTGGCGCCAAAAGAGTTCGCCAGACTGCGGCCGCTTTTGGAACAGTAGGGCTCGACCATTGCTTTGAGGGAGAGCCCTCAAAACAAGGAAAGGGTTGAAAAAAGGTGGAATCTACTGAATCCAATGCCGTTGTTCCGCTGGTCATCTTGGTTCAACGGCTGATCGCCGAAAACCAGGCCGCAAATCCAACAACCTCCTGTGTGGTCTACAGCGGGATTTCATGTTTTAATCCCCGTTTCTCCGTTTTCTATGGGCGGCCAACGGAGCAAGTTGCTCCGTTCTTCACGGGAAAATGGGAAAGGAGGTTCTGGCAGATTTTGGCCAAGGGAATCTCTCATGCCCGCTCGGAACCCCGCCTGGGCCAAAGACCCAACCAAACAAACGGGGCTGCCTAGGGCCTAAGGTTGGGAAAGGATGCGCAAAGGCACTGCCCAAACTGCTCGAAATGTCTTCCGGGCGCCATAAGCCTACAGTTTGCCAAGTACTGCCGCACTTGGGCATCACCCCTTGCCACATTTCTGAGGTGCCGGATTCCATATGTTTTCCAGCAAGCCGAGCAACTGTAAACAAGCTCCGACTTGATTCGGGGGCCGGCGGCCCGGCCTGTAGCCATCCTGATCCATCCGCTTCCGTCCATCCGGCGCCGCGCAGCCGTGGGCACAGAGGAAGGCTGGGCTGGGAATGCGTCGGGAGGTCCCTTGTGCTTCAGCGATCTCTCGCTTCGCCTTTCGAGGAATCGAGGCAGCCCGGTGTGCCGCGATGCCCGGCCTCGGTGCGCCATCGGGGGAACTGGCTTCCGACCGAGTGGATCGAGTTGAAGGTCCCTGACTTTGATTTGCCAAAGCTGGCTGCGCTGGGGTCTTGGGACGTTTTTGCAAGGAGCTGGGCGTGTCCCAACCAAATGGGCGAGGTATCCCAACGAAAAAGGAGACCAAAGGGCTTTGAAGAAATTCCCGGCTTCGGACTCGACCTCGGCACACTTTGTGTCTGGCATGTCGGATCTGTCATTGCGGCGCTTCGGCAGCTTTCAAAAAAGCCAGCTTGCCATTGCAGACTTTGATTCCCGCTGGGTTGGCAACACTTCGCAGAAGCCAACGCGCAACGGGAGCAGTCACTCCTTGGCCAGCTGAATTCTGGATCCATATCTAATGCGCTGGCAAAGCAAAACAAAAAGCTTCCAACGTGGAGCATCAGTCAGTTTTGACGAGCTATTCCATGGCCAGCGCCTCTGCACAGCTCGCTTGATCCAGTCAAGCAAATCTAGGCCTCAGCTCGCCCAACTCCGCCCCAGGCTGATCAGAAGCGACACTGCCAAAGGTCACCAAGCCGAAGCTCGAGAGCTGGAGCATTTCCAGCGGGCCGTCTGGCTCCACCTCGTACAAGTGCGTGCGCTCCTCGCACTAAGCACCGAGTTGAGGGCAGCTCCGACGGCCAACCCACTTGAATTCGGGACCCGTTTGCCTGAGACCTACACCTCCAAGCGACAACTTAACAAGCTCTTGACCCAGCTTCCACTATGTCCGAACAGGGGGGGCCCTTCGTGACAAAGCTATGTTTTTGTTTGTCAAGAAATGGTTGGATTTGGGCGGGCCCGAACTTGGTAATCGGAGGCAGCAGTTCTGAGTGTAAACAGAGGCTAAACCAATTCCCATGCACTTCGTGGGGTTGGACACTTGGGTCAAACCATACAATACGCCCCGGGCCCCTTGAAACGGAAACCTGCAAAACTATGTTTAAAACAAAGCTGTTCCAAACATGCTTCACATGGCGCGTCGGCCAGCCCGATTTGGGAAACCCATCCTGTCGGCTGGTGACCTTGGTCAACTTCTGCTTGCCGCCCACAAAGACCGTGTTGCCCACCCCGTGGTCTGCGCGCTCCGCGCAAGCTTCGCCTCGCAAGATCGGCCATAAGGAGTTTCAGCATGGACCAACATGGTCAAGGACTCTTTTGGGCCCGAGATAGTCGGGGGCGATGTGTACGGGGCTCATTTTGTGTTTGGGTTGCTGCTTGACCGCCATCTTCCTCCTTCTTACCTTTTGCTTAACTTGCCAAACCAGGGAATGGAAACTGCCCAGGGCTTTGTGCTGCTCAAACGAAAAGTAATTTAACGCACAAAGCGGGAGATGGATTGGCTGAAGGCACAACATGGCACAACCAGGGTTCCTCTTCAAGGGGCAGGCATGACTTTCGGTGTGTATATAGATCAAAGGTGGTGAGAAGCAACTTTGAATGGATGTTTTCGTACTCCGAGCGAAAAACAGAGTCCATATTAGCTGAACCAGGTTGTAAGCATCGATGAAGTCGAAACATCCGTTGAGCAAACCCCCAATCCGATGTGCGCCTTCAGAAGCCAATGAAGGCACTGTCACGCGGTGAGACTTGGACACGCTAGACAGCCTTGGCGCGTAGTGAGCTCCACCAAGTTGTAAGGCTGCTTCTTGGCGCGGTGCAAGTGCATGCCCAGCACGGAGGCTTCGGTCTGGTCCAGCAGCCGCACGCGGTCCCCGATCTTCAAGTTCTCCACTCGCAGCAAGTGGCCGTCCACGCCGTGCACGGCCGTGTTCGGCAGAAAGCACTTGGCCGAGCGGCTGCTGGTGTCCGAGTACATGTCGGACTGATCACCGACAAGACTGAATGAGTCCACCGCATCTTCCGAAGCCGGGGTTGCACCTGAGACGTGCTCAAGTGACTGCGCGAACCCTTTGGCGCTTGCTCTGGACACATTTCAATGAGTTTCAATATGACACAATGTTTGGAAACCAACAGGCCCCTTGGGTAGGTGCGCCAGTAAAGACATTCCAATTCAACAGACAACCTAAAGCGCTTCAGATTTAATGGCACTTTCAGACACCCCAAGCTGACAGCCAACCGCTCCCATCAAAACATATCATTTTGAGAGAAAACACGGCTCATTGACGACCACGGTGACCATATCCGTTTTCTTAAAGCACAATCTCCAGCTGGGGTGCCAAAAAGGCGTCGCACTGCGCCTTCAACTGCAAGACGCACTGCGTCATCTCTGACTTCTGCGCCTTCTGGGTCAGCAAAGCAATCCTCTGCTGCAGAGTTTCATTCTCTTCCTGCAAATCTTCGACTATCTTCATCACATGCCTTCTGCAGCTTCTCCGTCTCAAGCTCCGCCGTGAGCAGGTCGGTTCGGGCTGGGAGTTGCGCGTGGGCAGGCGGTGGGCTCTGCAGGGTTCCAACAGGCCCGGGCGGGGGAAGCAAGCAGAACTCGAAGTCGTCCACACCTGCTGACTTCGTGCGCAACTCCAACTCCAACTGAGGATTCGAAGGTCGCAGCCGCACCGCTCAGCCGGGCCGCCGGCGCCGGCTGCCGGCCACGGCGCCGTGGAGCGGCAGCCGTCCTCGTCCACGGGCGCCTGCCACACGAGCTCCCAGGGGGGCATGGTGAGGACGGTTTGAGAAGCGAAAGGGTGGAAAATGTTTGAGACTTCTGAAACCGAAATCTGCTCCAAAAAAAAGAGCCAACGCGACGGGTTGCAGTTCATCGGAAAAAAACGAAACAGGGGCCCACCACCCGTCCGTTTCTCAGCTCAGTGCTTGAGGTATCAAGGGCCCCCGGCCCAAACTGCACAGCTGGGAGCCTGGAGGTTGGGAGGGGTCCTCCAAAACTGACCGCGGGGCTGCTGCCAAGAACGGTGTGCCTTTGCTTCGTTTGGCCTGGCTGGCTCACTCTGACCTTCTCGTGAGTACTGCTCACTACTTCACCAAAAGTAATGCCCAGACACTGAACATGGCATCCAATGCACCGAGGAGCTGTGGCTCTAGGGTGGGCTGATTCATGCCCTGAAAAATGAATCACCGGTCAAAGGGATCTCGTGCTAGCATAGTCAATACATGCTGTTGCAATGCATATCTTCCTTTTGGTCTATCTCACAAGTTGGTCTCAGTTCCCTTCTTATTCCTGCCTTGGAGACTGTGTCCTTGAACGTGGAATCTGTTCGTTTGGTTTATGAAGCACATGTTTGTTTGGTCACAACACCAACCGTCCCAATCCGGTCACCAATCATCAAACCATGGGGCAATGGATCCAAATGACCAAACTAAACGGCGATGTCAAAAGGTTGCCTCGTCGGAGGCCCAAACCGGATCCACGATGGGCTTCGTCTAGCAGCCGTTCTCTGCAAAAAAAGCTGGAAATCATATGGCTGTGGGTCGAAACCAATGGTACACCATTTTGGGTAAGGTGCACCACCCGTTTTAGTCTATTTGGGGATTGGGATGTTCATTGGGGGTACAGGATTTTGACCCATGGCCATACGTCTGGTTCGAAACATTTTGGTTGCCATGGGAAGTTCCCCAACATAATATATCCGGAATTCACCACAGCCGACCAAACGAAAGGCCAGTGAGTGTGTGTTCTGAAAAGGGTGACGGTTGAAACAAATGCAAAAGGACTCCACCCATGGATGTTCGGCCAACCTATGGGAATCAATATTCCTGGCCCACGACCTGGACCATCGGTATCTTTTCCCATGTTTTGGAAGATGTACGTATATCTTTTTGCGGACCATGGGTATCTTCTCCTATGTTTTGGAAGATATCTCATCTTTTTCGTGGGTTTTCCCCACCCATCCAGAGCCGCTGAAAAACAAGACTCCCAGCCGGTGTGCTGGGAGCTTTGGAGAGACGGATTGGGATCTGAGGGAATCGAGCGGGAAGCCAAGAGGAATACGTCTACTTGGCACTGGTACATGAGAACCGAACTGAAACCAGTGGAATCCATGTACCCTTCCTCCAACATGGCATTCGTGGGAGGGTACTTGGAGCTTTCCTTTAAAAAACAAAAACTGTGAGGTGTTATGTTAGTGGGAGGGAGGGTACTTAACAACGACACCTACCGTGAATCGACGCAATCCACGAGTTCAGAAGGATGAAAATCCGACCTGCAGGAAGGCCATTCCCAACTTGGCTCGTTCCCTTGCCACAAGATCCCAGGCCACCACCGGCAACCCTTCGCCATGTCCTTTTGGTGTGTGAAACGGTGCTTGGACTCGCCCTGAATTGCCAAAAAAAAAGTCTGAGGGCACGACCCAACGCCCCCAAGCAACGTGCGCGCCTGCGGATCGTAGAAATATCAGCAGCAGCGTCCAGGTAGAAAGGCGCCGCGGCGCCTGACGTGTGCGGTCGGTTCTACCCAACGGACGGCTCTGCTATCCAGACAGCCACACCCAGCGCTTCCCGGATGCGCATGCAAAATACGCAAAGCCCCACAGTCTCGAATACAACTTCCAATGCCCAAGAGTTACCATACCATAGTGGCAACTGGAAGCACTTATACCCATTTTGGCCATGGACATCAACTGTAGTTTGGTCTGAAAGTTCGGCGCATGGAAACGTTCGTTGAACACGAAAGGCTCAAAAAGCTCGAGTCGCTGCGCATGTTCCGTGGCTCAAAATCCGGACGGTTGCCTACAAAGGGGACCAACCGTTTGACTGACTAAAGACCAGTCAGGTCTTGGGAGTTGCAGACTGGACATTCTGACCACTGACATGCGTATCCATTGGGTACCATTTGGGGCGCCTACTTCAACGGGTACCCGCGCGAAAAAGAACGAAGAACTCCCCTCTCTGAATCACAAAGTCCGGGCTTTCCTCAAGTACTACATTGGCGCATACGGAAGTTTAGGGCACTACTCACTTGGGTTACGTGGCGGTATCTTGATTTCCGTTGGGATTGTTTCAAGAGGAGCCAACTTTTTGGGGGCTCCCCCATTTTGTGACATGCTCATGTCCTGAAATACGGTCCATCAAGCCTGCTTTCCTTTTCGGCTCCCTACCCATCCAAGCTTCACGCGCCAAAAGGACTCAGTTTTATACCAGAAACAACCGCCGCTTCCGAAGTAGGGTGCCTCAAGATCAAAAAGAAGGTACCCCCCGTACTAATCAACCATTTTGTTTAACCCAGGGTCAACATGAAGATGAGCCCCGTCTTATCCAGCATGCCGCTCACCACTTTAGATCACCTGGAGTCTCCTTCCAACCCTTTCAACATGGCGTCGAATCCTACCGGAGAAAAAAATGGCGCGAACCCTCGATCTCGCCCACCATTCACTCTTGCCACAAGAACCCCTTCGTGTAGACACTATTTGGGGGAACATATTTTCAATCTGAAAGGAACATGCAGTCCTCGAAATACTGATGGAAAGAGGAAACCGCCGCGTCACAAGCCCTCAAACAAAGTTTCCCTTTGCTTCCTTCTGAAGCAAACCTAAAAAAAGGCAGAGCCTCAAACCACGATACACGCCCCGGCCGACATGGGTTTTGGGTGACGTGGGTAGGCCAACGGTGGGTTCTTTTCTGTTTCGCTTCGTGGTGTGCTCGTTTGGTGGTTTGGAGGAGAACCCGAAGGCCTCGCGAGTCCTCAGCATCAGAACCCCACTTGCTTCGATTGGCAATGAGAATTGGAATGACCCCCCCAAAGTCCCAACCATTTTTTGTTTCCTCTGGCTTCCCGGTTCATTCCCAGACCCTCATTCCCCTACCCATCGCAGCGGGCCGAAATCGGAGCCGCGGACTCCACAGGCGCCTCCACGTGCGTGCGCCGCAGCGGATGGGACCCGAGCGTGGCCGCCCGCCCATCTGGGCGGCTCCAAGCCCGAAGCAGAAGGTCAAGCAGGTCTTGTAGGTTAAGTGGACACACCAACAGTTTCAAAGGTCTAAGACAAGCTAAGTTTCAGAAAGGTCTAAGCGATCCGCACGCAGCTCTAAAGCGACAGACACCTACAGACTCCAAAAAGGTCTAAGCCGCGATTCGGTCACACCAAGCCAGCCAAACCACTTCCCCACCGGCCTCCGAGCCAAAGGTTTTTCGAGGTAGGCAATGAGCTAGAACTGCTTCCCCAAACCCTAAGGACATCTGAGGAACCCGAAGAAAGCGCAAGGAACGCCTAAGCAAAACCTCTGGAACCCTATAACCTTGTCTAGCCAAGCTGCTTGAGCCTGGCCCCCTTTAAGAAATGTCTGAAACCACGGCTCAAGATGCCCGACCTCTCAACACTGCAGGCAACTCACCAAAGTTGGGCCTTTTCAGGGGGTGATCTGTTAACCGCCCGGATGCGTCCAATGGGGAGAAAAAAAGCATGTCCAGCGCTAGATTGCAACAAGGAAAACTAAACAAGATAAGCAAATGGAAGTTTAACATCAAACCGCCCGCGCTTCAAAAGGCAACTGAGTCAAGGACCCTTAAGATTCGTGGATTCTGTGAATGGTATGCTTGAGTCGATTGTTTGAAAGGGAGATGTTCAGTGCGGTCTTCAAGCAACTTTCTCCTTGCTCTCCAAAAACACCTCCAGCGTTGCCGGTGTTCCCCAATGCGTCGCTTGGTGTTGGAGATTCCCCCTTTGGGTGCTCCGACATCGGCACAGCAACGCCCCCGAAAACATTGCCAGACCTAGCGCATGTGCTGTGAGATTTGTGGAAGGTAGGCTTCTTGGGGCTGTTGGAAAGGGGAAATGCAACATGAAGGATTAACAGGATCTACATGGATTTGTCCTGATCTTGTCCTATGACTATGAAGTGAGTATTGGGCAACCCGATTCCAATCATCAGCAATCCGCTCATTCGAGAGACTTGCCCCCTAGCCGAAGGCACTGCTCTTCACGCGTCGCAAATCGGTAATCGCTTGTCATGAGCTTGCACGCGCTTGCGCGCATCTTGCGCGCCAGCACGCAGGAGGCGACTGAAGGTCGTGCGACGGCACGCCTAGCATATTCCGTGATGTGGACAGCCGGGGCCAGGTAGTCATAGCCACCGTGACCGGAAGTTGCAATCTTGAATTACTGGAAAAGAGGAGCAAAGTCCCCTTCAGCCCAACAGCAAACCACCTGCTTCAAAACGCCTTCTGCTCAACCAGTGGTCGAACCGCTTCTTACCCTGAAACTGTCCACGCGGAAAACGCAGCTCAGGGGTCGGCAGCAATCCGGTTCTACGGTGCCATTCGCAAAAGCTGGTGGCGCCTGCAACCCATGCGAGGACCTTGCGTAGTGTCTCACGTTCATGGATTGGTCAGAGAATCTTGCCAAACGTGTTTGGAACCACCAAGAGTTAAAAGGAAAATCTCAAGCGGTTCAAGCCCGCAACATACCAATTCCTCTGAGGTGTTACAATGTGAGATGTGCGTTTGTTTGTTGTTGCATGTGTTTCCTGCTGGTTGCTGGTTGCTGGTTGGTTGTCCTTTGTGGCGAACTGTGCTCTCTTTTCTGCAGGGTCTGATCGACCAACATCTGATTCTGAGCTTCAATATAAGGCGCATTTTCTTCGGGTGAAACCCCGCCAATGCAAAGCAGCATCCCAAGGTGGGTCCCTAAACTAACTCAGATTTTTGCTCCGAATCAAACACGAGATGGTTGATTGTGGTCTCATTTTCAGTGAACCTTGAAATGCAACATTCGCAAGGAGCTCCCAGTGAACCCCCGAATGAGAAATCTGACTTACATCCCGTCACAGAGGGAACCTAACCTGTGGCCAAACACTCCATGTGTGCAATATCTACCCACATTTACTCCCTCGAATGGGTCAAAGTGGCATACATATAACTATAACTGTGCCGTGTATATATATATGTATATAGAGAGAGAGAGATTCATGCTAATCCAGCCTTCCAAAACCCCCCGCCAATATGTATATGATACTGTATGTCACACACACATAATATATATATATATCTGTATATACATATATATTATGTATTCACAGCTTGTGCGAGTATGGCCAAAGTAGTGATGTTTGAATCTAAGGGTTCAGGCGCCACCACATCTGCCCAGGCCGCCAGACCGCCTCACTCCTCGCTCGGCCCGGCGCGCAGGTCTGGCTGTTCAGCACCTGCCGGTTTTTTTCCGCGCGGCTGCCGGCGAACGCGCGCAAACGACCCCAGGATTTTTCATTTTTTTTGGAAGTGGAGTTTCTCCAAGAGGAAAAAGTCGCCTTGACCTTCAGATCGTCAGCTTCTATGGTTGCTTAAAACATGGGATAAGACTGGCCGCAAGGCGGGACCCGTGCAGAAGACTCAGCAACATCGCTCACATGTCTGACGTATTGCTCCAAGAGTGGAAGCTACCCAAGCGGGGAACCAAACGCGATTGATTCTAGTTGCCACCGCAAACAACCAGACATGGTGTTTTTGTTGAAGGGGGTCCCTCGGTTACCTTTCTAAGAAGACAGTTTGCAGGAGCTTCCTTAGGCAGTAGCTGGAACCTTGCAGGTTTCGGGCGGATTTTTGTATTTTTAAACTACAAAGGTGATGCTTGAACCCGGGGAGGGATAAACAATGTGACCTTAGTTAAAGATAATTTCAGCTCTTTGACTGGTGCTTCGTATTGATCATTCTAAGAGATGGCTTACCCTCTACGAAAGCTTCAAACCCCGAACCAAATCCGAAAATCGCCCAATGAGGGGACCTGGACATTTGACCTGTTAAACAAAGATCATCACAGTGAGCTTCGCCCAGCGGCCCCCTCCGAATTCCAAGTTCTGAGGCCCTGGCTTATTCAGCACGTCGATTGGCTTCCTGAGGTTCACGAGGTGGTCCTAGGGGTCATTGCTTCAGCTTCCTTCCAGGTGAGTTGGAACCCCCTGACCTAGCCTGGACCCTGCATGAAAAAGGAACGCCACACATTTGACATCTGATCCATTGTAACCAACTTGCCCCATGTTTTGTAGAACATCGACGTTACATTCAGAAATGACCAACTGTAGGGTCATGTTATCAAAATCCGTTTGTACAAAACAACGCTACATTTGCAAATGTTGCGGGTGGTCATTTTATACAAATACAAGCAAGAGGGGTCATGGGCGTCAGCTGGCAAATTTGGTTTTCAACATGACCGAAATGCATGTATTATTTTGCTAGCCTGGCATGTTCGACTGTTCTGATGGTATGTATTGTCTTTGCAAGCCTGGCACGTGCGCTCCACTGATTGTTTTGATTTAAAAACAACTATCCGCGGCAAGCTGCGTGGCGACCACAGAGCCGACGGATCAGTTCGAAGAGCCAGCGGTGCGCCTTCTCACTGGGTCCTGGGATGCCAGCGTGCAATGGGGAAACTTGGAAAACAGCACTGCAAACGACAGGCCAAAATGTACTCGACTATAGGACTCAGCCATCGACAATGTCAACCGGTAGACAATTTGCATCAGTTTGGAAAATAGCCGCGTAACTGGCACCGACACGCAGGAAATGGCTTAGTTGCCTAACTGAGTGACCAGGCGAAGAAAAGACATGCTTTCTTCGTGGGATGATGGCGCAAGGGCAAAAGCATGGGCGGAAACAAGAAGGGGTTGCTATACATTACCTAGGCCGTCGAACGTGTCATCCTGATGTGGCTTTCGACTACAAGGTGGAAATCCAACTGCAACTGTTTCTAGAGGAGTCACGCCACTTTTTCGGGTTCCACGCTAATCTGTAGCGGCAGCAAACCCGTACTCCGTTTCAAGGGTTGATGTCAACCCCCAAGTACAACAGGAGATGAACACAATGGAAAACCCGCATATTCAAAGTCCATATGATGTTTTGACTCTGTTCCATGTCTTTTTGCCAATGGAAGACTTCCATGTTACGGACACCAAGTGAAAGGTACACTTGGGCACAAATGAGGTACCGAAAATGAATGCGTGCAAGAAAACATTTTTGCGCGTACGGCGGGGAAATAGACACCGCGAAAAGAGTGACGCTCTGCGTTTTTTTCTGCGTCTCCGGCAAGCTGAAAGCTACCTCGGTCGCGACGCCTCACGGACGACGGGTTCGGAACGCTCTCGGAACGGACTCGGACCCTGGTCCATTGGCACGGACGCGCGCACTTTTCGCGACGTCATCTTTGCGTGGCAGGCGCAGAACTTCGCCGAGCTGAGATTCAGATTGCGTGGCAGGCGCAGCACTTTCGCAAGGTCAAGTGCAGATTTGGTGGCACACGCAGCACTTCGCAAGGAGGTACAGACTTTGTGGCAGGCGCCGCACTTTCAGCAGATAGACAAATAATTAGATAGGTAGACGGATAGATGGTCAGTAGATAGATAGGCAGGAGCACAGATAGATAGATGGATACATTGATAGATGAATGGATGGATGGATGGATGGATGGATGGATGGATAGATAGATTAGATAGATAGAAAGATAGATAGATTAGATTAGATAGATTAGATTAGATAAATCGATTAGATAGTTAGATAGATAGATAGATAGATAGAAGGATAGAATGATAGATAGACAGACAGATAGCTAGATATTAGACAAAAAGATAGCTGGATAGATAGATAGGTAGATAGGTAGATAGGTAGATAGGTAGATAGGTAGATAGGTAGATAGGTAGAGAGGTAGAGAGGGAGAGAGGGAGAGAGGGAGAGAGGGAGAGAGGTAGAGAGGGTAGAGAGGTAGATAGGAAGATAGGTAGATAGGTAGATGGGTAGATGGATGGATGGATGGATGGATGCATGGATAGAGAGAGAGAGAGAGACATAGTTAGCCAGATCGAAAGAGAAATGGAGAGACAGAAGAATAGAGAGAGAGATAGAGATAAAGAGGCACAAACACGTGAAGATAGAGAGACAGAGAAATATAAAGAAATATGGATAGCCATATAAAGAATATTGCAAGATGGATCAATAGCTAGCTAGAGAGATTGCTAGATAGGTAGATCCATAGACAAATACATATGAACAAAAAGATAGGTGGGTAAGTAGATAGAAAAAGCGAAAAAGAAAGAGACAAGGACAGACAAGATAAAGCGCGAGAGAGAGAGAGAGCGAGAGAGAAAGCGAAAGAACTAGAGACAGAGAAAGAGCAAGAGAAAAATAACGAGCAAGAGGGAAGGAAAGAAAGAGAGCAAGAGAGAAAGACTCGAAAGAGAGATACAAACAACAAAATTCTTATATGTTTGAGACTTCCGCCCACCGGCTTCGCCGGCTCCACTGGTATAACATATGTTTGGAGACCCATTCGGAATAGCCAGGACGCAAATGAAAAAGAAGCCGTACAGGCAGCGCGACTCGGGATCGTAGCCCATGAGCAGAGCCCGCAGCTGCTTTTCCAATGGCCTTAGTTGCTCACTGGACCAAAGCTCGGAAACAAACCATATTGCCCGTGGCAAATTCTCCTGTTTTGTCGCTTTGCGAAGTGGGCCATTCCAATGAACACTTTGCCACTTGGGCCACTTGGGGGATCCCCTGCGACTTTCGGATTCCTAAAGCAACTCATTTCCAGCCCAAGTCCAGTTTCTTCAAAGACCCTGCCACAGGAGACTAAATTTCTCTCTATTTGCTGTGAAGTCTCCTGGGAACAATTAAACAAACCATCATGGGATGGTGTTGTTGCATCGCAGGTGCTACACAAATATCAGAATATACATTGAGTCCAAGTCAAGTGGGGAAAACGACCAATCGCCCCCTTGACGAATCAAAGCGCTGAGCACTTGCAAAGGGGCCTGAAAAGAGTTTCAGGCCCTTGTACACATTTCAACTTTGGGCTGGAACAGCCCAAGTCGCCAAACACTCCAAGAAGCCTTTGGCGGGCGGGGTCGCCGCCCATTTCCCCTCCAAAAAGTGGTCAGGTGAGCGGGCGTTCGCCGCCCGCTAAGGCATGAATGGGGCTATCAAGATAAGAGCTGCAAGGGTGTCCACCCCTCAAACCTTCCGCCCCCGGAACATGGCGTCTTGTCAGATGCGACGCCGTTCTTTGTTCTGACCTACCTCCCGAGCGTCACCTCTGAAAAAAACTGGATGCCACCAATGGTTGTTCTAATGGTTGATGCATCCACTCTGCCACTAAGCCACAACTGGATCCTGCAACCCCTCTTCCCCAAAAACAATCGCTTCCACGTGTGGCATGCCATGCGATACAAATGCGGCCACGCTGCGCTGGCCTTTTGGGGGTTGCGCCTTTCTCTGGTGGAAGCCCAAGGCAGGCCGAAGCCAACCCGATTACTTGTCAGGCTGTCTTCGACAACTCCTGCCCAGGCTGTTTCTTGGGAAACAGTAGAAGAACCCACAAAACATACGGCGTGTCGCCCACAAGTCTTTTTTAATGCTGTATGAGGGTTGTTAGGGCTTAGGTTTAGGGTTTTAGGGCTTAGGTTTAGGGTTTTTAGGGTGCAGGTTTAGGGTTTTTCGGGTTTAGGGTTTTTAGGGTTTTCCGGGTTTCGGCTTCCTTGGAGCTGGCTGTCCTTGGCGTATCTGAGGCTGGCTTGTCTGGTTTAGGTCCAGGGTTGTGTTAATAATCGCGCCGCGCTTCATTAAGCCATGGAGGGCTGCGCCCGCCAAGCTTCTTGAGGTCTCGGGGACCCGCTTCCCGGCGGTCGCGGGCAACACATACCGTTTTGGCCGCAGAAGAACCATTGCTCGTTTCGCCCTGCTTTTGGGGGCATTTGGGTCGACCTCCCTCTCTGTGGTCGGGGACCATTTGGTGGACATCGTTTACGTGGGGAGACATGTCCACCGACCATTGGGGAGGGTGTCCCCGGACAAAATGCAGGACAACAACACTGATCCAAACATTCTAGAGTAATTGTCCAAAATCCAAATTGAGGGATCCCACGTAAAAGCCATCATCATCTTGGATGTCCGCTCTTACCCGCAAGTGAACTCGAAACCCAAAGAGCCGTACTCCCGCCTGCTCCGTGAGCTTGGATGCAAGGTCGGAATGCCAAGCGATCCACGAGCGCGGGCACATTGGCTCCAGTCGCTGCGAAAGATGGATGGCTGATCTGCAAACCTGAGGCGTGACCAAGGACCTCACTGTTCCCAAGGCCCTCTCTCTTTTAGACCTCGGTAGAACAATAAGATTTGGCATCAAACAAAAAGGGGGAAAGGGTGGAATCCACTAAACAACTGGAAATCTGAACGCCTCGCAAGTCGGAGGTGAAACTCAGATAGTGAAGGGCAAAAAGGATTCATATTTTAGACCTGGTACCTGCCCAATTCTGTTCGAAAATCCGTCTCTTCAGAAAATGAAAATAACCCGAGGAATGTCTCAAGCGAACGGCTGCTGCAAAAAATGAAAGATCCCCCTGGCCTCAGCCAGAGAATTGAGAGAGCTTGCCTCAGTGCCAAGACGAAAATGGCTTTGCCAAGGACTAGCATCCCAACTGTACATAATAACCAAAGTCTGTAATTTCAACACTGGTTCCATACGGGGGGTACATACCTAGACTGTCCTAGGTGTTCCTTTTTGCTGCCTTTTTTAGCGAAAACTGCCCAAACGACCAAAAGGTGATTTTCCAAACCAAAAGGCGACTTTCCCCGACCAAGCTTGCCGCAACACAATTTCAGGGGAACTTTTGGCGAAACGGCACACAATTCTGCCTTTTCGCAAAAGACAGAAAACAGGTGCAGCTGGAAGGTCTAGCTATGTCCATCCTGGCAGAAAGGATTATTTCTTCCTGGTCTTGGCGGGGCACTCCTTGCACACAGCAGCCGCATAGGGTTCACTTGTTGAAGAAGTGTGCTTCCAGAGCGCAGCAGGCCGCAAAGCATTCATTTGCTTCAAACATCCAAAACGCAACCAAGTCCGCAAAGGGTGAACTTTTGCGAGGAAGCAGCAGTCGCTAAAGAAGCCAACCCTCCGGGCGGCTTCGGGCCGATGAAACCGCCGAGCTGCTCGGAAGTTCCGCCCGGCCACAACTCCGGCACAAAGCGACCCAGAAGCGATGCCTCAGCACAACGGCCCTTAAGGTTCCCTACCGCCAGGGAAGGTGGCGCAACATTGTTGGTGGGTAAGTAGAGGAAGCACGGTGACACAAACATGATGAAACCATGTTTTCCCTTTTAAATGCCCAAGCCAAGTTTCGCGTGACGGTTTTATTAGTTACACCAAGGTAAAAGTAGCTAGCGCAAGTTCCGTCTAAGTAAAACCGATGGTTAAACCAACATGGGGGAATTCTGCTACCTTTCAATCGCAAAGGGAAACCTCCAGTTGAGAACCTCGACCTTGGTGTCCCTTGGATGGCCCCCCAGAATCAGCAGTGTGCAGCTAAATCCACATGGGTATCTGTTCTTTCTTTTCTTGTTTTATTTCATTTCTTTATTTGGGGGGGGACCACATTTCCAAAACAAGAGGTGAGGCTCTGATCGGCTTCAGGAATAGAGGTCTACGTGCCCATTGCCGAAGGCGTTTCACCCTGACCCGCCCATTTTTTTCAGCTTGAAGTCCCCAGTCATAGAACGCCAGTGTCATGGATACATTTGGGTGCTTCAAGTTCGTTCTGCTAAACCATTTGGCCCCTTCTGAAGTTGGACCAGTTTAACACACAAAACTAAAAGGCTTCAAAGCCGGGAGCGGAGAAGAAAAGAAAAAAAGAACATCTCTCCAGGGTTCCATCTCGGCCTCGCCCCAGTTCGCCCGTTCGCCCGTTCGCCGTTCGATCCGCCCAAGAATTTGGCCCCTGAGCTTGGATCACTGCGAAACATCTCGAAACGCGACGGCGTTTCGATCGTCTGAACTCTGAGGTCGAGGAATCCCTACCAAACCCTGCGTGCTGATCGCTTAGATTCGCCACGCACCATCGGTAATGTGTCAGAATACGGGCATCTCTCAGGTCTTAAACTTTGGGAACTCCCCCGAAAAACGGTGTCCGATTGAACCAAGGGACCCACAAAAGCACGCGGCACATATCCGAGTGGCCCACACGCAAAACACGTGTCGTCTGTATGCACAAAGCATCTCGTCCACAGAGCTTTGCGCCTGGCACGGGGCACGGCGTTTGCACGCGGAAGGGAAGCATTTGAGGGTAGCTGTTCAGGCAGGGCTGTGCGTCTTTTTCGACGGTGCCCTTTTGGGCGGAAGGAAAACCACTAGAAGGAACGTGGGCTCTGATTGCCTGGAAAACTTGCTTGGGGGGGGTGGTGGTTTTGAAGTTCAGCTTCACGCGAAGTGAATCCACTGTTTGACCTTCGGTGTTCCCAGTACCTCAAGACCAACCCGTGCAAGGGTTTCCGGTGGGTTTCCCCTCAAACCTTACAGGTATCCCCGAGTTCGTCTCAAAAACAGGCGATCCAGCAGTTTCCTTCGATGTCTCAGAGACGAGCTTATCAAAATAGCGGTCTTCTAGGGTGAGCTTGTGTAAATCAAACAATCGTTCGACACAAAGAACATGTGAACCTTTCGCCTCGCACCATGTTTGATGGATTTAGTTGGACATCCATGTAAATGCCCTCAAGGCCAAGGCTTTGTGGAGTGTTTCGTTGGGTTTCTGTTCTGTTCGGGGATCACACATAAGGAAAGGAACATGGGATGGCCTTTGTTGCATTCGCTTGTTGCTTTGCTGGAACAGACTGAGTCGCCAAACACGCAAGCCATGTGGGGGCGGGGTGTCCCCCATGTCCCCTCGAAAGTGGTCAGTGGTGAGCGGGCGGGCCTCTTTCAGGAGGGCAAATCTGCCTCCCTTCCCTTACGCAAACTGGATTGTGCATGCTGCTTCAATTGTCAGGCAAACGTATGCGCACAAAAGTATCCGGCCATTGGTTCATGCATCCACTCTTCCACTACTCATGCACGGGATGGTTGAAGCAACCAGCTTTGGGCTTCCAACTGGAAACTTGGCTTGAAAGGTTGCGTTGAATTGTGACACGTGCTCAGGCCTGAACCCAACCTTGCCCCAAAACCAAACACCTTCCGAGCGTCAGATCTGCTGCCAGCCTGCCAACCAACGGCCAACCCACTAGTCTGTGTTCTAAGCCAAAACAACACTGGATCCTGCAACCCCTCTACCCCAACAAACAATGGTTTCCACGTGCGTGTAAGCATGCTTGCATGTGATACAAATACAAGTGCTGCCACGCTGGGGCGCTTGCCTTTTGGGGTTGGGACGGCTTGCTCTGGTGGTAGAAGCCAAAAGGAGGCCAAAGCAGATATTGAAAATTGTCATTTTCAGCCAAACCACCATTTGGAGACCTCGGGCCAACCCGATTACTTGTCAGGCTGTCTTCGACAACTCCTGCCCAGGGTTGTTCTGTGAGAAAAGAGAAGCGGCAAATTATTTCTCTGCTTTTGGGTTGACCTGCCTCTCTGGGTCGGGATTTGGTGGACATCATTTACGTGGGGAGACATGTCCACCGACCATTAAAAAGGGTGTCTCCCAACAAGGACTACAACACTGATCCAAACATTCTAGAGTAATTTTCCAAAATCCAAATTGAGGGATCACACGTAAAAACCATCATCATCTTGGATTTCCGCTCTTACCCGCAAGTGAACTCGAAACCCATCAAAGAGCCGTACTCCCGCCTGCTCGGTGAGCTTGGATGCAAGGTCGGAACCACAAGCGATCCACGAGCGCGGGCACATTGGCTCCAGTCGCTGCGAAAGATGGATGGTTGATCTGCAAACCTGAGGCGTGACCAAGGACCTCACTGTTCCCAAGGCCCTCTCTCTTTCTCTCTCTCTCTCTCTCTCTCTCTCTCTCTCTCTCTCTCTCTCTCTCTCTGTCCCTCTCTCTCTCTCTCTCTCTCTCTTAGACCCTGGTAGAACAATAAGATTTGGCACCAAACACAAAGGGGGAAAGGGTGGAATCCACTAAACAACTGGAAGTCTGAACGCCTCGGAAGTTCGAGGTAAATTCAAATATTATATTGCAAAAAATAAGTACCCTGCCCATTATGTTCAAAAATCCACCTCTTCAGAGAATGTGCAAAACCTACTGAATGTCGAAAAGAATGGGGGATAGCCTCACCCAAAGAATTAAGAGAGCTTGCCTCAGTGCCAAAATTGGAAATACCCTGCCGAGGACTAGCATTCCAAATGTGCATAACAACCAAAGTCAAGTTTCATAACGAGCATATATATGCCCATCCTAGCAGAAGGGTTTATTTCCTAGTCTGGGGGGCACTCCTGACACACAGCAGCCGCATAGGGTTCACTTGTTGAAGAAGTGTGCTTCCAGAGCGCAGGCCGCAAAGCATTCACTTTCCCAAACCTTCCAAAACACAACCACGTCCGCAAAGGGTGAACTTTTGCGAGGAAGCAGCAGTCGCTAAAGAAGCCAACCCTCCGGGCGGCGGGCCGATGAAACCGCCGAGCTGCTCGGAAGTTCCGCCCGGCCACAACTCCGACACAAAGCGACCCAGAAGCGATGCCTCAGCACAACGGCCCTTAAGGTTCCCTAACGCCGGGGAAGGTGGCGCCTCCTGTGGGGGCGTTACGAGTGGGAGTGTTGTGAGTGAGGATCTTATTAGTTACACCAAGTTAAAAGTAGCTGGTGCAATGTCCGTGTAAGTAAAACGGACGATTAAACCAACACTGGGGGGGTTCTGTCACCTTTCAAACAGAAAGGGAACCTCCAGTTGAGAACCTCGATTGGCCCCCCAAAATCCGCCACGCGAAGCCAAAATTCGCCATGCGTTTCTTAAGGATTCGCGAATCTGGGAAAGTGAGGAGCAGGGTTCCACAAACATTGCTGGGCTAACCCCTCCCCCCCCCCCGGCACCCAATAGCGTGGCACGGCATTGCCCAGGAGAAGGTCAAGCGCAATGCCACCCCGGCGTGGATGCGCAAGTCTGTTCGGGACGCTCTACAAATTCCACTGAGATCATTCAATATTCAGTCTCTGTTGAGGTCAGCAGGATTACTCTTCCACCAACTAACATGGAACTACACAAAGCCCCTTTCCAAGAGGAAAGCGGTCTGTCTACACGGTTCTGCGCACTTCCATGTGAGTTGGTGGGAGGGTATTGGTTGGCTGAACCAACCTCTGCTCGTGGGTCGAAAGCTTCTGGATCCTAACCCGAACAGGGTGGCCAAAAAACACGTCCTCCCCCCAGTCTTGAGCGGGTCGCTGCTCAGGAGCAGAGTGAAAGAAGCCAGTCCAAGGCCTCCTGCGAGCTCCGCAAAAGGCCATCAAGCTGGCGCCGCTGGCGTCGTGCCACTCGGTGGACATGCTGCACGCGCTCCTTCGTCTCGTCATAAAATTCCTCCAGAGTTGGGATATGTGTTGCCCACCGGAGCGGGTCCGCCAGGATTCTGGGCGGCACAAACGCGTCGTCAATCCATTCGAGGAAGAGCTGCTGCTCCACCGACATGGGGGACACGCAGGCTGCCACTAATTCCACTCTTGAGCTGCCAGAGCGTTCGCAAGCAAGAATTCGCGCCCCGCTGTTATGCCTTCTCTGGACAAAAGGGTGATTCCATGGATTCGCAAGGACTTGTGTTTTCCTTCAATGCGACTGATCAACCAAAGCTTGTCGTGCATGTGTGATGGTGTGGGAGAGTCGTCAGCGGCATGGAGGGTCTACTGCCAGGCGAATGAATAGTCTCTTCAACTTAGGTCTGTTTGGTTCCCGCCTCCAACTTTCATATCATTCGTCCCTCTAACCAGCACAATATTATTCAGATCCACGCACCCGCGGACCATGTCAAATCATGGGACCCGTGTTTGGTGACATTTTGCGCCGCCGTTAAAAGTGCCCCAACAAATCATGTTACCGTCGCGTCCATGGCGAGTTGCCAATCCAAAGGCGTAAAATGGAACATGCACTGAAATGGCCCCCAACCTATGACCAATCACGGACACCGCGGAGGCACCCTGCAAACGAAAGGACACTGGCAGGCATCAAACACCGGACACCCACCAAAGATATCGGCTTGCAAAATGTGTGTTTCTTCTGGCGTTCGCGGAATACTGCATGTTACTGGCTGCTTTGCACATCGAGTATCACAGGAAAATAAGGGGCATCCATGGCATTCACACACACATACCTCGTTGCATGTGAGCTGGCTGGACCTCCTGGTGGTAATGGCCCCGTTTGGTTTCAGAAGGGGTCGTCATGGGGCCTGCGCTTTGCATTTATGCCAAAACAAAACCTCGAGTTAAAAAATAAAATAAAAAATTGTCAGACCCTATGCCCCATGCATGTCTGACATAGGGATCGAACATGTGTTTTTGCTTTGGTTGGAAAACTCGAGGTTTTCTGCACTTTCCTGAGGAACAGCACATCTGTCTTTGTCACCAGCAAAGGTTTCCAGATAAAATGTCTGCATGTTTGCCAGCACTTCTCAAGTGTCCCATCCTTTTGGCTTTTTGGTTTTCTCAATGTTTTTTTGGCACTTTTGGGGATGGGGTCATACAGCAAGAGACTTATGCCATCACCAAGCTTAAAGCACAGCCATCTGTCTCTCTCTTTCTCTGGCGCCCTTCTCCCATCTTATGATTTAAATTCAATAAACAATCATATGATTATATATTTTAAGCAAATAAGATATCAAAGTGTGTGATGATAAACAATAATATATATATATATATATTATATCATTATAAAATCAAAATATAGTTTTAACAATATAAGAAACTACAAAAAAACATTCTCATAATTCAATTGAAATATATTCATAGCACTAAATCTATTTGTAAAACTGGTTAGTAAGAATATGTTGTGCAAACATATGCAGTTGAAAATACTTGAATTTAAGATCGGGCTTTAATTAAACAACAACGATAATATACATGTTTGAATTTTCAAATCTACGGATTGTTCAGAAAACAAAATAAAAAGATAAATTCTGAATTAACTGTTTTTATTCACTGGCAATACGTTCATTTCAAGTTATTGAATAATATACACTATATGTTTGATTTGTAAATTTCAACTATTTAGATTTCATAATAAGTTTTTTGTTTAGATATCTCAAAGCTAGCTTACTTAACATTTAACAAGAACAAGAACAAGAACAACCCCAATGATTCAAGTTTAATTAATTATATTGTAATTCTCATATGGTATTTAATTGGAAATAGTGTAATTAGTCGTTTCCCTACTGGCCTGGTTTTCTCACCTTTTTGTTACCCTACAACAGAAGCAATGAGGTGAAGCAAGCAAAGTTATTGAAAGGATTGTTGAATCCCCAATTTGCTTTTTTTCAAGGTGGCTTCAAGCCCTTGATTATGGGGTGTAACCATACGTTGAATATAAATGGGATGCGGTATTGTAGTAATTTGCCCATATGGGTTTGTCTCAAAATAGGGGGCGCCCCCCCCCCCCCCACAAAGGTCGGCTTCCTCTCTTGGATTCCTTTTGAACCAACCCCAAAAAGAGTAAACATAGAGACCCATATACCAGGTATCCGCTAGTTGGTGGCTTGGATTGGTGGTTTGGGGATTTGAACCCCTGCTCCTTGCTGTTGTAGAGGGTAAATGGGAAACCACCCCTGGAACACCTCCCAACCACCAATCCAAACCTATTAGAGGGAAGCTGAAAATGTGGGTGTCTTTTTTAGGCCTTCCCTGTGCTGTTTTTCCGTTTGGTTTCCCATTCAACACGACAGACAAGGGATACCCTCAAAAGAGTCACGCCCATGTAAAATGCACAGAGTCTATCAAGCCCCTCCCAAATGCTGCCCGGACATCCGAGCTCCGGGCCCAACCGGGCCTGGGCAAGCCGGAGCTCCGGTTCGATTATGAATCGCAATCATAGAACAATGTTTGCAGGTGAGATGTCAATTAATCTTGACAAAACACACACACACACACACAGCATCCCGCTTTTGGAACCCAAGGATTGTTGAAGAAACAGAGAGACCGCAACTTTCCCAACATCCAACCATGGAAAGACATGTTTTCCTTTGCCAAATCAAGCGGAGGTCTTGGGGTCTGAGGTCCAAAGACACACCAAATATGAGCACCTCCAATTGGCAGAATTCTAGAACATTCCCAGTCTTTGGCACTCTCCCCAAGGTGTTGCGTACCCTCACCTGGGGACAAAAAGGGGCGGTGTCCCTTTAACGCCATCCAAAAAATGTGTTTTTGTTGCATTATCTTTACACCCCAACACCGGTCCCACAGCAAAGAGCCCAAAATGACCCCCAAATGAATATCATCAAAGACCTAATTTGCATTTGCTGAGCTGCTCATTGTAGAATGGAAGCACAGATGCGCCCTTCCGCCAAGATGCAGAATTGCGAGGCAACCATGCCCATGACAGAAGTCTTGACCAAGCATGATACTTCATTGGATCATTAATTACCCGTAGAGCCGGTGGGAAAAGCTTCACAAATTATAGATCTATCTATCGACCGATCTACCTATTTATCTATCTGTCTATCCATCCATCTATCCAGCTATCCATCTATACATCTACACATCTGTCCATCAATCCATCTAGCCATCTATCTATCTATCTATCCATGCATCCATCCATCCATCCTTCCATCCATCTACCAATTAATACGGTGGATGGAACAAATCTTGCATCTCTTTTGAAACAGATCCATGCCATCTCGTTACGACTTGCCCCGCGCCCCCTACTTAACATTGGTGCTCAGTTTGGCCAAGTTGGGTTGGGTCATGCAAGATTTAGGCCATTAACAACCTATGAGCGGTTTTGCTCGTCGCAACTCAATGTTGAGTAGGGGGCGCGGGGTGGCAAACATGTAGTCTTGTAAACTCATGCAAGATTTCTTCCATCAACAGTAGCCGCAGGCAAGTTGAGCATCACTGTTTTCAGCGTTGCGCTGTATGAGCTGTAATGTTGTAAAGGCCGAGTTTCAGAATTACAAAGCCTGGGCGCGCGAAGCAGCACACGCGGCACATTCCGGAGTCTTGGCAGCTCCCCGTCAATACAACAGTCAACACTCAGTCAACAGTCAGTCAACACTCAGTCAACACTACAGTCAACACTGCAGTCAACACTAGCAAAATCCTGGCAGGGCCACTGAAACGGCTCAGTTGGTAGTGAAACAATCAAAAAATATAAAACTAGCTTTTTAATTGCCTGATTTGTGAATTTGCTGGCCCTTGCCAGGATTTGGGGAGTGTTGACTGTAGTGTTGACTGTAGTGTTGACTGTAGTGTTGACTGAGTGTTGACTGAGTGTTGACTGCACAGGGCACGCAACGCTTTGTTTTGCGCCGTTCACGGGTTCAGCAATCAGACATGAAGCAACGCAACAAAGCGCCCTCTACACCAGTCGGGTAGCCGCAGGCAAGTTGAGCATCACTGTTTTCAGCGTTGGGCTGTATGAGCTGTAATGTTGTAAAGGCCGAGTTTCAGAATTACAGAGCCTGGGCGCGCGAAGCAGCACACGCGGCACATTCCGGAGTCTTGGCAGCTCCCCGTCAATACAACAGTCAACACTCAGTCAACAGTCAGTCAACACTCAGTCAACACTACAGTCAACACTGCAGTCAACACTAGCAAAATCCTGGCAGGGCCACTGAAACGGCTCAGTTGGTAGTGAAACAATCAAAAAATAGAAAACTAGCTTTTTAATTGCCTGATTTGTGAATTTGCTGGCCCTTGCCAGGATTTGGGGAGTGTTGACTGTAGTGTTGACTGTAGTGTTGACTGAGTGTTGACTGAGTGTTGACTGCACAGGGCACGCAACGCTTTGTTTTGCGCCGTTCACGGGTTCAGCAATCAGACATGAAGCAACGCAACAAAGCGCCCTCTACACCAGTCGGTGGATGGAACAAATCTTGCATCTCTTTTGAAACAGATCCATGCCATCTCGTTACGACTTGCCCCGCGCCCCCTACTTAACATTGGTGCTCAGTTTGGCCAAGTTGGGTTGGGTCATGCAAGATTTAGGCCATTAACAACCTATGAGCGGTTTTGCTCGTCGCAACTCAATGTTGAGTAGGGGGCGCGGGGTGGCAAACATGTAGTCTTGTAAACTCATGCAAGATTTCTTCCATCAACAGTATGTCTATTCATCGTTATATATAATATTGCTACCTATGTATCTAGATTACGTATGTATCTATCTATCCACCCATCTATACATCCAGTGGTCCATGTTCCGGCTCTGGGTGAATAAAGGAGGCCTGACCAGGAATTCTCCGTCCCCGGCAGGTTTCTTTGGCGAGGGTTGTTTGCTCCTCTCCAACATCCCCGGAGTGCCTCCGAGGACATGTGATAGTTGGTGTGGTAGGTGTCGCTGCCACACGTCCCCGGGCATACCTGGCGCAACGAAG